AAACATAAGCTCATATCGTTACAACACAACAAATCCTCAGTAATATGATGTAGCTGGTATACGTGTTCTTCTGCTTTCCCTCCCACTCTTTACATAGGTAGGAAGAAGTATGGTGCAGCTGGTTACATGTGTTCCTCTGCTCTTTCCCTCTCACTCTTTACACAGGTATGGATGTAAGGAAATTACACCAAAGAGGACAAATTCTGCCTGTGAAACCCTGTTTCTTCAATGGAATATTATGCAGATTAACCTAGCATAAATTCCTCTCTAATCTACACAGGCCTGGCCATTGGTACTGCTTTATTGTGAACAAAATGACATTGTGGTGCAGGGCATGAGATGGTGTGGGCAGGGAAATATTCTGGCTCCTCCAGAATGTCTGAGAAACAGGTACAGAGCAGATTGGGGTGGGGTGGGGAGCTGTTTCTGCTCTCTGGTACCTGTTGGGATTTCATTTAAATTTGGATTCCATGTAGATCTGAGCACAAGGAACAGTATATGGAGGGAACTGCGTAGTAAGAACCACAGTTTTCAAAGAAATACCCTTTTGCTTGTGGGTTAAACAAAAGCAGTAAGAGCTTCAGCGTTTGTAGTTGAAAATCTATTACAAGGAGATTTTTCCTTTGATGTACTGACTGTGCAGAAGAATTCTGGATTTTTATCTCTTCATGTCCTAGAAACACTTAAACCTGTAGGAAGTTGAAAAGAGGCTACCTGTATATAATGAAGTGGTGTGTCTGCTCTGCAACTAAAACAAAGCAAACCTTTGTGATTAGAAGTGGTCTGCAGTGTATACAGCTTTGTTTTATGTCTGACAATCGCTAACTGATTTAAGTGATCTGTAAACCCATTTTGGAAAACAAGCTTTTAAAATAATTTTCAAGTAGCTACTCTAGGCTAGGGCAAGTGTAGTACTATTTCCAAAGGGAATAATTAATGCCACTTGGCATTGCTCAAGGGCAAACCTCAAACCGTGGTACAGTTTCTGTTTATGTCTTCCCCTCAAGGTGCTGCTTTGAGTGCTTTGTACTTGGCACAGCATTCTAAAAGTAAAGTGTGTTTTAATTTTTCTGGTATAGGTTGCTGTTTGGCCCCAGTGGCCCTTGAAACATTTTACAATGAAGCCAAAAGATCAAACATTATTTTAAAAAGCAAATAAACACTATGCAAATAAACACTATCAGTAATCTACAATTTAAAACAGAAGGTTAATTCTCATAAAGACCTCATTACAGACTTTGTGCAACTGCAGTTTCAGTGGCTGAGTGGGTTTCCTAGGCTAGGGAAGGGAATACCACAATAAGGGTGTCACCACCAAAAAAGAGGGTTCGGTTTTGGTAGATATTAAAACTATCTTAAATAACAATGGCATTAACACCCACTTGAGTAACTCCTTGTGTTAAGTTGAGTTGTTTTCACAATCCACCCTTACTGCTTGTTCATGATGTCCACTGAGTCATCAGATTTGCTTTACCAAATAAGTTAAACTGATAACTATCTCTTTCCAACCCTGAGTAAGTTCTAGCTCTTCAGTTCTATAGTTCTGATACTAATTTGGCATTTAATTTGTGTTTCAACATACTTAATTTGACAACACTGCTTACAGTTTCTTTATATAAAATTCCAATAAAATAGAACGTAATCTTCTTTTTCTAAAGAAAAATATAATCCTGGCAGCTCAACTGGGCATTTTTGTGATCTTTAATTACAACAGTTGAAAGGCCCTTTTAAAATCCCTTTTTTATCTTTCAGATTGAATGAAGTTAAATTTACTTCTCCAGATCCAACCCAATGTGGTGGCACTTGGACCGACTTTTACCTTGTAGGCAACTTCTCCACAGCGGCACAGTTCTTTGTAACATGGGCTGTTTTAATATTCTTGTACTGCTCGGCAGCTCTTGTGCTGTACCTTGGTTATATGCACCTGTATCAGAACATTAGTTCAATCCCAATGTTGGTAAGTTGGTAACAGGAATGTGTTTTTCATTTTTAAAAGAGATTTGCTTTTGTACGTGTTTGCAATGAAGTATTCCTCTTCTGGAAACATGCCTGTTCCATAAAGGGCACTTGAGCATTTCAACCTAATTGAATGACTTTCAGGGGTGGATTGGGGGAGCTGCAGAGTTGTGAACTGTGCACCTCAGATTCTGAAAATAATGTATGTTTAGGCAGTGATTACCAGATGGGAAGGAAGCTCTTAGGAGTTGGTGAGGTGCTGGTTGCAAGACTGGGTGAGTTGTAGATCTCTCCAACTTACAGAAATGCTAGTACAGTTATCAGACTGTATTTTAAAAATTCCAAATCCACTAGGTGGTAGCCTATGTACAGATAGCTCATGCAGTTTAACAGCTAGCAATAATTCCAGCAAACTGCATTTTTGTGATTATTGTTTTTTTGTGATGAGTGTTTTTTTACTTTTCACTGTGGCTACAGTCTCTTTTGTACATTACCTTAGGAGTAGGAAAGGGGTGGGATGTATATTCATTTTTTAAGAAATAATTGCAAAAGTTAAACGTATTTAAACAGCATTCATTCACTAGTTCACATTTTATTATGAGTTAATACGGTCTTTTCCTTATTCTTGTATAGTTCTGAAAGAGCTTGGTGGTTGTACTGAACAACTGGTCACCTGATGGCTGTGATTCTGTCATTGCAGGATTATGTCTTCACTCTCTGTGCTACTTTTCTGTGGCTGGTCTGCACTGCTGCCTGGGCAAAGGCCCTTGCGGATATCAAAGTGTCAACTGGACCACACATTGTGGGAGAAATGTCCACTTGCAAACTATCAGGCTCTTCCTGTGTATTTGTTTCTGTTAGCAGCATGAGAAGTTTGAATGTTTCTGTGGTATGTATGTCAGCTCATTGGTATTCAAGGACAGCTTAGTATTTTACAGATTGACTCTTTAAGTTGTGATTAAAAGTAATCACCCTTTGGGCTAGAGGCCCAAATCCACCTCCTTGATAGGTATTCCCTGGCCCCAGTTGATATCATAAGTTATAATACTGGCGGCAAAATTGACAAATAATAGAGCCTAGACTTTGGTTTGAGGAAGTGCTTCCCGGTATCTTATTCGCTCATGCACTGAGCCTACATGAATAACCTTGTACTTACATCCTATAATGCCCGACCAAACAGCACAGAGATCTTCATGTTGCAGTGGAAAATTGATCTCAGTAACTATCATGTTTTGTTTCAGGAGAGTTCAGACTCTTACAGCCCAGGCCTCTCCATGTATCCCATTGAGTTTGGCCTGGCTGCTGAGTAAATATGCACAGGATTGCAGTGTTCAGCTTCAAGTAATTGATCTTGCTTTGTGCCCTTCTGTGCCTACAGTAGGATTGCCGGGTCCATCTTCGTTCCTGGCAGGGGACTTTGAGGGGCATTCCTGGAGGGGCCAAGCCCCGCCCCCAGGAACAATCACTCGCGGCCACCCCTCTTCCCTCTTCCTAACCTTCTGCAAGATTTAAAGGGTCCACCAATCAGGTGGAGGGCCCTTTAAATCTTGCAAGAGGGGAGGAAGAGGGGCGGGTGCTGGCTGCATGCCTGAACTCCAAGTGGCAATGCTGCTTGGAATTCAGGCACGCGGGGCCCGGTCCCCGCTGGCCAGAAGCACTTAAAGGGACCTTTTAAGTGCTTCCGGCCAGCAGGGCCCGCGTGCCTGATCTCCAAGTGGCAGCGCCACTTGGAATTTAGGCACGCGGCCCAAAGCCGCCCCTCTCCCTCCCCTCTGCAAAATTTAAAGGGCCCTCCAGCTGTCAGCTATGGTGGAGATAACAAATTTAAATATTGGCCTATTATATTTTAAGTGAAATGCCACAGTATATAAAAAAGTGTGTGCAGGGTGAAATGTATAAAAGTTTGGAATTGGTCTTTTAAGAGAAGGTTAACCCCTGAAGAGTCAATATGTTTTAATGATGATAGAACTTGTTCTTGTTCCTGCAGGTGTTTGGTTTGGTCAACATTTTTCTGTGGGGAGGAAATGCTTGGTTTGTACATAAAGAGACAAGCCTTCATAAGTCGAATGGTAATTCCCCAAACTCTGGGCTGTATCCACCTGCATCAGGAATCTAAATGGGAGATGTTGCCTCCTAGCAAAACAGCCATCCATTTGAAGACCTCTGTAGTAGTAATTTGTTTTTCATGATTATCAAATATTATGCTCCAGATAGTAAAATTTGCAAATGTTGGAAGATATCTGAATCCAGTGAGCACCCCTGTTTAAATCTAGACAAGGATCTCTTTAGGAAAGCATATCTTTTTCTACTCTTGATGCTGTTTGCTATAATCTTGTTTATATAACTAGTGCTCTTCCAATCTCTTTGCATTTCTGTATTTAAATGTAAATGGAGGTGTTTAAATACAGTTGTTGCACATTCAGATGCTGATGATCAGTACCTCTTTGGTAAACAAGTTGAAAGTTGTGTGGTTACAAAATGTTTCTTCAAGCAGCATATTTGCATTACTGGTTGAAGAGTAATTTAACTGTTGCTGTAGAGGAGGAGAAAGTCTGAGTTCTGGCTTCCTACTCCTAAAATCTGAAGCAAAAAGTTTGGACACTATATATGATATAAGAACTGAGGCAGAACTTTAATGTGTCAGCACAGATAACTTTTGCTGTGCTTCTATTTCTGATTGAGAGTGAACTTAATACAGAAGAACTGTAGATGTTTGCTTGAACAGGATAAAGCCTGATCATGAAAGTACTTGTTAAATGAGCACTGGGAAAAGTCAGATAACCATAAGTGTATGTAACCAAAAATGGCCATTTCCTGCTTACTAAGGAAATGTGTGGAGCATCAATTACTTCAATAAATGCAAATTTTTAGAATCTTGCTTGAAATACTTTGTAAAACACCTTTCCACATAGCTAAGGGTGATGTAAAAAGAGGCAGGCAGGTTGCTTGAATCATTCATGTCTAATTTCTCAGCAGTGTATGGTGCTCCTTTCTGCATTAAACTGTAAACAAAAGAATTTCCTCTGGTAAAGATCTTTGACTGTTGTGCTCCTCTGTAGCTGGGAAAAGATTCTGTAACAAAACTTCTGCAGCTCCTGTTCTGAATAGAATGAATCTTCCCTGTCTAGTAATGTTCATTGTAAACAGGGAACAGGCTCAGAGGGAGATAAGGCAAGGGGTGTGTGTGTTCTTTCTACACCTGGAAAGAAATGTTAGCCACTACAGAGGTAATTCCAGAGGGCTGGATGATCAAATATGTAGAGCTCTGTTATCCCCGGAGGTCATGAACCACAGGTCTAATACCTAACAATAAAATTATCACTGGAAGTGATAAAATCACATACTCACAGAGATGGGGGAGGGGAGCTCCTCTCCAATATCTGCCTTCCCTGCCCGAGAATTTTCAGGCAGCTGTCTAAGATCAGACACACAAAAATGTGACCTTTAAAAAAATTTTTTTTTCACAATGAGTTTGCCTATAGCTTGTTGCTATGGAGTTGTTCAGGACACAGCAGCTCTGCCAGGAGAAAAGCAATCTTATTTTCATCTGGCAACTGTTTTGTGACTGTGTTTTATCAGTCACATTCATGTTCTTACACTGCTTAGGTAATGTTTAAGTGACTCCCTGCCAATTACTAAGGCTGGCCAGGTCTACATATGTACACTGATAGAGTAGATAACTTATGATGCTGGAAGTGAGTTCACAGAAATATAGTGGCAAAAGATTCCTTGTAATTCATGAGAACTGAAACCAGTGACACCTCAATAACCTTGGAACTGGATTAAACTTGCAGTGAGGGCATGACCTTGCCACCTCACATATGGAATGCGATTAGAGATGTGAAGGCCTGGGAAAAAACTGGAAAAATTCGGAAAACCCCCTTTTTTCCTGGTTTTTTCCTGAATCCTTTTTTTTTTCCCCTCCGAAAAATTGAAAAAAGAAAAGAAAAAAATTGATGGAATGTTTTATTTTAACATGATGAATAAAATATTTTAAGAAAAGGTGTTCAAATATTTTCCGAATCATTTCTAAAAAATATGTATGGTATCAGATTAATCTAATTTCTGTGCACTGAGGACAAGCAAGTCCTAGGTTACAAACTGAACTTTGTAATAATTGTTTGGATACACTGTATTTTAATATGCCAGTTGTAATAATTTCATGCCAAGTAAAATTGTCCATAGTCATATTTTATGTTCCTAAAGTAATATAATGACTTTCAATCTGGAAAAGAAAAAAGAAGTGCTAATGTTGCATTTTTTTTCAATTTTTCTGAAAATTTCCGTTTCCACCCAAAAAACCCAGAAAAAAATGGAGTTTTTTTCTGAGCTTCAAAATTTCCAAAAATTTTACATCTCTTGCTGGGGTTGCTGACACTGAAAGATCTCCACCCTCTAGCAGTTACTAGACAAGATCTATCAGGAACATCTCCTTTGACAGCTGCGTTGAGAGATCCTTTTGCACTAATTCTGTTTATTTTCCTTGAGTTTTCACAGGAGGTAGTCATGGGAATTTTATGTAGATTACATCCAGTTTAACTTGAATCAGTGTCCAGCATTCCTCCCCTTCCATTGTAATAAAAGGTGCATTAAGTGTAAGTGTTACACCCAGCATAGAGAACAAGTATCTTATCTGCAAACTATCAAGCTTGCTGTTGTAGTCGATCCTGGTTAGTATTTGGATGGGAGAGCACAAAGGAATTTCAAGGCCATTATGCAGAGAAAGGCAAAGGCAAACCACCTCTGTTAGTCTCTTGCCTTGAAAACCCTACAGGGTCACCATAAGTCAGCTGTGACTTGACAGCACTTTACACACAACACGCACACCAGTTTCTGAGACCTTGATATCCAGGGGCAGTTTACATATATTATAAAACATACACTAGTTACTTTCTGAAAGTAAGGACACAAGGCAGCATACAGGAATCAGCTGCTTAGGGAGGTGGTGAGCTCCCCCTCACTGGCAGTCTTTAAGCAGCGTATAGACAAACAGTTGTCAGGGATACTGGAGGCTGATCTTGCATTGAGCAGGTGGTTGGACTAGATGGCCTGTATTGGCTCCTTCCAGCTCTGTGATTCTATGATTCAAAGAATAATTTCATGTTATAGCCACTACCTAGGAACTGTTTTAAATTGTCCCTCAGCTGGGTTGTCTGTAAGTAGTGAATTTATGTGCAAGTGAATGACCTGGGAGCACAGGTTGTGTTTCCATGAGTTCTTCCTGTTGGAGGCTGTGGCTTAGGAAGGAAAAGAAGAATACTGCAAATAAATGACTGGCTACATAGATGGTGTCATCAGGAAAGATTTGGTTTTTTGGACGATGGCTTACAATTTCAAGATGAAGCTCTTCTATCAGGAGATGGTTTGCACCGGACTTAGGTTTTGGTGACTTGGGACTTGGACGCATCTCATTGATCTCTCAATAGGGATGCACAAAGATGTGGCTGACAGGAGGGGTCTTGGCTGGTTCCAGACCCCCCCCCCCGAGTCTCTGTAGGAGGCTCTTAGCCTGGGGAGCAGGGAAGAGTGTCTCTTCTGAAGCGACGGCTTAGGGATCGAGGCTCGCCCGTCCCCAAGAGGTCCTGCCGCTGTGGAGCCATTATGGTGTGCAGAGTTGACCGCCAGACGAGTGGATAAGGGACTAAGTGAAACTACCTCCTGCAATGAGTCAAATCTGAACAAACAATGAGTTAAGTGATCCCCATATAAGCGACCAAGTCTCTGTATGTTTGATTGACTTGAGAAAGGAGCGGCAGGTGGGGAAGGGTTGGGGATTCACCCTCCAAAAAACTAAGTGGTCCCTGAGCATTACAGTGAAAGCAAGAAATGAAACTAACTGTACGAGACTTTAACGGAGCATAAAAGGTGTAAATGAATCCAAGGCGCAATAAAATCGGAGAAGCATGACTTTAAAACCAAAAACTTTCTTCTTGTATAAACAATGGCTGGTAGAGGGAGGAGAATGGCGCCGGAAAAGAAACCTCTCACAGGAAATACTACACCAGCAACTCCCACCCAGGCACAGGAAGCAGCTGCAGAGTTTCCCAATATGCTGGCTACAGCGCTGCACCCTCTGCTGGAGCAGATGTCTAACATCACCAGTAAGCTGGACTGTGTTCAAAAGCAACTTGTGCAGATGGATAAAAGAGCAGATAGACAGAGCAATCAAGAGAATTGAAACAAAGACTAAAAGTGTGGAACAAGGTTTGGAGGCAGTGGGGGGGGGGAAAGAATCACAGATGGTCAACTCCTGCAACTGCAGCTGGAAAAATCAACGTATGCGCTACGCTTCCAAGGGATTCCTGAGCAAAAAGGAGAAAATCTAAACATAATTTTAAGCAAAGCATTAGCATCAATTACGGACCTTAAACAAGATGTTCTGCAAAACGATATGGACCTAGTGTATCGTACTTATTCGTATTTTATTTTTAAAAAATGCCTCGTGAAATATATGTGAAATTTTCTATGAGGCCCACTAGAGATGATGTCCTGAAAGCTACATCGGGGAAACTGTTGAAAATTAAAGATGAAGAAATCAAAATTCTAAAAGACATTTCATCTGAGATCAGAAAACGAAGACAGCAATATAAAGAATTAACTTTTTTCCTTCAAAATAACTCAATTACTTATAAATGGAACTTTAAAGATAAGAAAACTAAAATTTACTCTGTCCAAGAAGCCAAGGACTTTTTGAACCAACAACAAAATCTGAACCAAGATGATAAATCAACTGTGGATGATCTGGAAGATGGAAGGAACTAGTGACGGTGAAATAGATGATAATTCAAGTGACTCTAGCAGTACCACGGGAACTTCTGAGTTGGAGAAAGGAGAAGCAGCACCTAAGATGTTAAAAACGAATTTGAAACACAAGAAGAAGAAACGTAAGAGATAAACTGAACTTTAAAGGATTACAAATCACCTGAACTTAGCTAAAGAAAATTTACTAAATTTACTCTATTGAAAACTTGTCTTTTTCTTAACACTATTGTAGGATAGGTATATATCATGTAATGTTCTAGTATGACCTTTTCCTTTTTAATTGTAGTGTATTCCCTCTGGTCCCTACCCCTTAGGATGTAGTATATAAAACGCAATAAAATATATAGATAAAGAAGAGGGGGGGGGGAAGGAGATGGTTTGCGCCTCACAAGGGTAGGAAAAATGTGTTCGGTAAGAGCCTTGCAAACCTGATAAGGAGGGCTTTAAACTAAATCCGATGGGGGAGCAAGACAAAAATTCAAAGCCTAGTATGATACCAGTAACTGAAAAGAACAACACTAAAGATTTGCAGGGAGTATTACATATGCTAGGAAACATTAACTCGCAGGTAAGCACAGAAACGAAAACCTCAGGGTGCATAAACCATGGATTCCGATGTCTCTACATTAATGTGCAGAGCATAGGCATAATCTTCGGGGGGGCTGAGGAGCTCGCACCCCTCCCGAAGGTACTGAGCCTCCCCTGGGCCTTGCTACCCCCCATCCCCCACCCTACCCCATTTTGAAAGCAGAGGGTTTTTCCCCTCCCTCCGCTTTCTGAGTCTGTTTGGCTGGATCGGGAGCGGGACGGAAAAAGTCAGGGCGGTGAGGGCTTGCTTCCTTCTGGAAGCTAAGCTCCACCCCCAGCTCCCAGCAGCCCTCAGTTCAGCTTGGGCGCCGTCCTTATTGGTTATATAGAAGCCAGCTAAACAGATTTGGGAAGGGGCCTGGAGAAATGTCAGAGTGACTAATAGAAATGCAAAAAGACCAGCATCACTCAGAATCTGACCATCACTGGAATGTTCACCAACGTAAAGTCCTGGGCTCCTTTTATGCTTCCCAAGAACAAAATTAGCAGAAGAACCATAGAGAAAATGTAGCAGGAATTCTGAGAGAGACCACCAGGGATTCAGCAAGGAGAGTCAACAGTTTATTAAGCACGCGGTATAGCCAAAAGCACCTCTCAGGGCACTTTCAAAACAGGGTGTGTACACAGAGTGCAGTCATGGTCCACTTTTTCCTCAATCCCAGGGAGGAAGGTAGCTGGATTGAGAGTAGTAGCCGGGGCTAATTGGACTCCTGGGTTTTCTAGAAGAGTAGCTTGGTAGTGGGCCATCCTAGACGTGGTTAAAAACTTGTGTCCCCGGGCTTCAAGGATGGCTTTCACTCCATGGGGGACAAAGACCATCAGGAGCACCCCAAGTGAATTTGTGGGCCATTTCTATGAGTCAACAGCAGGCAGCCACTGCCTTCAGACAGGGTGGAAGGCCCATCTCAACAGTGTCTAGGGCTTGACTCAGGTACGCAACAGGTCTCTTGTGGGGGCCCAAGTTTTGTAAGAGGACACCTTGGCTCACTCACTCCTTTTCACTGACACACAAAAAGAAGGGTTTTTCAGGGTTTGGCAAGCCCAAGGCAGGGGCTTCAACAAGTCATTGTTTGAGGATCCGGAAAGCCAGTTCTTGTTCGGGGTTCTGCTTGAGAACATTAGTTCCCCAGCATCTTGTCTGTTTGGTGTAGTGCCAGTTTGGTGTAGTGGTTAAGTGTGTGGACTCTGATCTGGGAGAACCGGGTTTGATTCCCCACTCCTTCACTTGCACCTGGCTGGATGACCTTGGGCAAGCCATAGTTCTCATAAGAGAAAAATGTGAGAAAAATGTGTCCCCACACTCCCCCTCTGGTTCATGTGTCCCCTGAGTGTTGCCTCCTTACCAAAGGCAGAGGTGTAAGCTTGGAAACCACTAAGCGCTGACAGAGACACAGAAAGGTCTCTTATTAAAATAAAACTTCTTTATTAAAAGAAAATACATTCTAAGATTTACCACCACAGTACACTCCTATTTCCTAAATGCTGATAGTGAAAGCATAAACAATAGACATGCAAGCAAAGCCCCAATAAACATGCAAGCAAAGTTCTATCCCACCCCAAAGCATGCAAAGAACGAGAGGCCTCTCGGGCTGACTCCTACCAAGAGCCAGCGAAGGTCTGTTGAAACTAACTAGTATTTATACCAAATGATCAAAGTCTCTCAATAATCAAATTACAGTTGTAAATTAACATTTAGAAGTTGAAATTGTCTTGCAGGAAATTGCGTCCTTGGTCTTACACAACAAAAGTTCACATTCTACAGGATCAATACAGTGTCATTGTTTATTCCTAGTGTTTCCCAATCATGGGAAATAAACTGTCCCTTGATGTTATCTCTGAGATGGGGTGTGTGTGAACTCTCTGTATCTCACGAAGTTAGTTTGTCTTTGGATTGAAGTCTGTCATTCTTCAAATGGCCTTCCAGCTGCAGTTTATTGCTGGTTATTGTCTCACACCTGTGGAGATTTCCTAGGAATGGAATGTTGTGAACTTTTGAGTACACTGAGAGGAATGCTCTGCCTAGAACAAAGGGCTTGCAAAGAATCATGGCCTGGTTTAGTGAAACAGGCCATGGCTGTCTGCTGTTTTGCTAGCAATGACAGAGATAGATACATGGGGTTTTATAAAGTATTTGGTTCATTTTAAACCCAAACCTTCTATATTTCTAAAATTTCTTACCACAAGCTGTCCTTGAAAAAAGAGCAGTTTCTGTCAGAGCTCTCTGAGCCCCACCTACCTCACAGGGTGTCAGTTGTGGGGAGGGGAGGGGAAGGGAAAGGAGTTTGTAAGCCGCTCTGAGACACCTTTGCGTAGTGAAGGGTGGGGTATAAATCCAATCTCCTCCTCCTCCTCCTCCTGTCATGCCCCAGTTGTCTGAGTGTTGTTCCTGCCCCCCCATTTACTGCATTTCTTTGATACCTGTCTGGTTTTGGGGGCTGAGCTGCTTTCAAAATGGATTTCCTGTTGTCTGATTGCTCCGTTGCACACCCAAGCCATGAGGTAGGTCTGTTGTTTTCTGGCTGCCATTTTTTTACTAGTTAGCGATGTGTGCATAACTGCATATTTGCGCCTCTCTCTCTCCCCCCCAATCCCTCCCTGACAGGGGCTGCTCAAAATTTTGTTTGCTTTATAAAAACTTTCAAAGGAAGACACCTCTGTACTTCAGCTTTTTTCTGTGCTTTGGGGAAGGGGTTAATTGAAAAATTTAGAGAGGGAGGACAGCAGTCAACTTAATATCTCAGCAGGCTAATCAGCACTTGTGCGCATGCTCAGACGACAAACCAAAAAAATGGCCGATGGCCTCACTCCCTGGCTGCTGGTCTGATCTCTCAAGGACAGGTTAAAAGCGCTTTGAAGAGTGCTAAATGGGGTGAGTCTGATCATGGTTCTCAGTTACAAAATAACATATATCAATTAGAGGCGAGGCAACAGTGGATCGAACTGCATGTCTGATCGCAGACCTTCATTTTCTTTGGACAGACACATGCCTATTCCACAGGATCCTGTGACAAAAAGAACCTGCCTTTAGGGAACTTGGGGATGAACAGGACTCTAAATTTTCATCATTTTGTGTCACGCAAGCATAGAAGTCCTAGTATCCATTTTGGGAACAATGCTTTGTGGCAACGGCAATTCTGATTTGGCTCATTGTTTAAACTGTCCTTAGTTTTTGAAGAATATATTTAAAATATCAGCTAGTCTCCCAGAAATAAGATGCATGTCTCAAACTGAATTCATATCCAGTTTTCCTGGCTACAGGCTAGTGCCTTGCCCCACAGGTTAAGAATGCCAAAGTGGCTGGAAATTACTCAAGTCACTCATACTCTCCTTGTGGCTGGAAATTACTCAAGTCACTCATACTCTCCTTGTGGCTGGAAATTACTCAAGTCACTCATACTCTCCTTCATTGCAATGGACTGCACTCCAAACTTGCCATCTGAATTAGAATTGTTACCCACGATAATCGGCTGTTGTTTAACAGTGTCTCTTTTTGTCACTAATTCAAAAGGGTTTAATTAACAACAAGTAAAATGTGTCCACATTACCTCTCTGTTTTTGAAGTATCAGCAAAGAGTTTTCTGGATTCTAGGAAAAATACTTCCTGTTTTAAGCTTGACTTTGATATTTAGGGTATATTTTGGGAGATGGGATGGGTGACCTGCGTGGGGGAACTGCTGACCCATTAACCAGAGATTCTTCTTTTGGCACCTGTAATTTTCGGCCATTATCCTGGTCAGAAATCTCAGTCTTCTGTTCTGGGGGTGCTGACGCCATGTTGTCTTCTCTTCCCTGCTTTCTGATGCTGGTCTCGGCTTCCTTTCTGCTTATATACCTTTGACCAGAGTTTCTTCTAGTTGTCATTACCTGTGCCACTGGATCCTTTGCTTCAGATTCAGGAGGCACATTCGTGTTTTTCCATCTACGAGCCCCAGACTTTGAATTAAATTCATACAAGTGGCCAGTGACTGTGGAAGAAACCAACAATTCAGCTACTACTCCTTTTCACAGAAGAAGTAAGGCTGGCTTTTGTGTGGTTAATAGCAAAACATGAGAATAATGTCTAATTAAATTGTAGAATTCACTGCCAGTAGACATAAAGAAGGTCACAAGCATAGACGGCTATAAAGGGGGAGATTATAAACAGATTAATAGAGGAGGGGTTCATCAATGGCTACTAGCCAAGGTGACTAAAAGAAACTTCCACATACAGAGGCTGCAAACTTCTGAATACCAGCACTGGGAGGCAACATCAAGGAAAGACCTTGGCATCTATGCCCTGTTTGTTGGCCTTCCAGGGCAACTAGTTGGCTACTGTGTGAAACAAAATGTTGAACTAGATGTACCACTGGTCTGATACAGCAGGGCTCTTCTTATGTTCAGATCAATGGGTGGATTGGGGCAAATATGTACTATTACTTTGGTGCGCCTGCTAGTATTACAGTGTGGCTTTCCTACTGCTTGAAAAGTTTGCCACTGCTATTTGCCTTAGAAACGTAAATGTCTCAGTACAATTACACATAAGCTCTTTTCTTTCAAGACAAAGAAAAATTCTTTCTTTTCATTGTTAGTGATACTACCTGGATCTCTCGCTTCTCCATCAAAAACAGTGTTTACATTGGTCATCTCCTAAAGAGGGAAAGAAAATGTGAATTTGAGCCTGCCTGTTAAATTAGGGGTGAGGTGCACTTGGAAATGTCGCCCTATGTTGCATTATAGCAGTGCAGGTTTAATTAAGACTGGCAACAAAGCCATTTATGTTTCAGGAGCTTGCAGATACCCTTTGATCAATGTAAATAAATAAATAAATAAATACACTTTCCCTTCTTATTTCCCAACTGAGGTGTCTGCTTTCCTTACTGTATGAAAAGCCTGTATGAAAAGCCAAGGAGGAAAGGTGGCATGGTATAACCCGACCTTGTCAGATCTCAGAAGCTAAACAGGATCAGTACTTGGAAGGGGAACCTCCAAAGAAGACTCTGCAGAGGAAGGCAATGGCAAACCACCTCTGTTTCTCACTTGCCTTGAAAGTCCCTTGCTGAGGTCTCCATAAGTGGACTGGCACTTTATACACACACACAGGCAAAGCCAATGACACTTAGGAAGCTTGCTAGGGGAAGCTTAAATATGTTTGGCATTTTAAACCAAAGTTTTGCTAGGAAGTAAGTTCCAGGACCCTCAGTGGTACTTAAACGAATGAGTATGCATGGATTTTAAAAACTGTATTTACATTATTTATAGTCCTCCTTTCTTACAGGGACTCAAGGCAGATTGGGCGGGGAATTGTTCCTAATTAGGGTTGCCAGCTCTGGGTTGAGAAATACCTGGAGATTTGGGGGGTTAGAGCCTAAGGAGGGGTGGGGTTTGGGGGAGGGAAAGGACTTCAATGGGTGTACTGCCATAGAGTCCACCTTCCAAGGCAACCATTTTCTCCAGGTGAACTGATCTCTACCTGAAGATCATATGTAATCCCAGGCAATCTCAAAACAACACCTATAGTTCTAATGTATAATCAGGAAGGATCCATCCATGAGAGCAGTGAGATTTGAGAGACTGTCCATTGTTATAAATTAAAAGAAAAACATCAAGATTTTAACATTTGGAACCAAACATTCCTCTTTTATGACTGGAATAATCTGATTGAATTTCCATGTACATTAGTGCAAGAAGATAATTGGGGACTTGATGAAACAAAGCAAACAAATTATCCAAGAGTTTAGCTTGCATAGGAGCCTTGATATCCACAATAAATGGAACCTAAAACATAGGAAGGAGATCTCTTTAAGGGCATTTTTATTTTTGATGAAAAGAGACTCAAGCCATGTTTCATTTATACGTTATCACATGAGTGTCTCTGTACAATACTTTCTATATTTTCATCAGTGTCTTAACCTCTTGAGCCACATATGGCTCTCACATGCCACATGGGGCTCTTCTACTAATTTTAGATTCTGTATATGCAGGGCTTTTTTGTAGAAAAACCCCAGCAGGAACTCATTAGCATAACAGGCCATCCCCAACAGCAGGAACTCATTAGCATAACAGGCCACACCCATGACAGCACAGCTCATTAGCATATTAGGCCACACCCCCGTGTTACCAGAAGTGTGGTCATCCAGCCACACCCACCTTTTGCTTTTTATTCTGTTTACCTTGTTTGTTGTCAAAACCCAGGGCTTTTTTTGGAGCAGGAACTCCTTTGCATGTTAGGCCACACACCCCTAATGTAGCCAATCCAATGAGTTCCTGCTGTTGGTGTGGCCTATTATGCTAATGAGTTCCTGCTGGGTGTGGCCCTGTGTATATGTATGATTATTGCATGTATGGGTTTGGTGGGGTGGAAGGCAAGGCAGTGACACAGTGACTGTGTCTCTTTTCATTGATGGGAATAAGTGACCAATGAATGTGGCTCTCTGTATACCGTGGAGTGATTCCCACTGAGTTGTTACCCATCCTTCTTGTAGAGCTGATACCAGCATCTTTTCCCCCTAAACAGTTTCTTGTGTCTTTCTTTAACCAGCAGTACGGCAGACTGGTGTAACGTTTCTGTCTTTCCCATCACTCTCCATGGCAAAGAAGACCAGAATCTAATTAAAAATTGGTCCTATTTCCTGAACCAATTATCAACGAAAATGTTTCCCCCCATTTTTATTTTACAGAACACTTACCCAAACTTCTTCTTTCTTAACTCTCTTCTTCTCTACAGGGAAAAAACACAGAGAACAAATTTGTTTCTCCTAATTCCAGATTATCCATGCATGATTAGTGGCTCTAAAGGGTGCTGCGGAATTCAGGGGTTCTGAAAGGAATCTGTTTTTCAATCAAGAGGCCCTAGGGAGGCTAGTTTGAAAAAGGTTTATGCTCCATTAAATGCTACTTGCTAAGAAATTCAGGTGGTATCTATATGCCTTGTGTTGACTTTTAACAAAATACTAACCAGATTTTAGTGAGCATTTAAGTTAGATCTGTAACTCTAAACACAGTACCACCAGTGTTAAGCATTTTAATTGAATATTGTAAGGGAGTAAGTGGGAGGGGAGCAACTATCATAGTTGATTCCTGGTGCAAATGAGTGGCTGTCTTTGACTATAAGGGTTTGTTTGTTTTTGTATTTTCCATACGTGTGTATGTAAGTGTGTGTGCACCTGGAAGTCATGGTGACCTCTGGTGACTGACCCCCTACTGAGGGCCTGGAGGATATTCAGAGACATGGCTGAATAAAGCCTGCCCCCGCCTCCCAACTGCTGGTATTCCAAGGAGGTCTCCCATCCAAGTACTTGCCAGAGTCGACCCTGCTTAGCTTCCAAGATCTGGGGAGATCAGGCTTGCCTGGGCTATCTAGGTCAGGGTGACTATAAAGTTTTTTGTGTTGGGTTTCAAGAACAGTTTAGGGCATTTGTTGGTCTTCCATCCACATATCTCACCATTAATGCCCTGGTGGTAGGGTTGCCAGGTCTCACCCAGCTGCTGGAGGGGGTGCTTGATCCTGGGACCACCTGGAAGTGATGTCATTGCACCAGGCACATCATGCATGGAGTGTTCTAGCATTTGGGGGGGAAACCCTATGGTCACCATAGCGTTTTAACCCAAATGCTGGAGTGTCCCGCACATGATGTGCCTGGCACGATAACATCACCTCTAGGTGATGTCATTGCACCAGGCATATCGGGGCTCTTCAGGGGCAGGGCTTCCCTGCTGGCCATCTGGCCGTCAACAGATTGGGGCCCCTGAAAGCAGGGGAACCCCCACCACCGTTGGGGGGATGGCAACCCTACCATCTAGGGATATGGTATTGAAAAACCTTGCGTTTAATTGTCCTGGGGAATTTCAATTTCCATGCTGCTCCTCATGTTTGGTTAAGGTCTGGGTTTCCTCACCACAACTATAGAACTCTCCCAGATTGTATTAGGCCCTACATATGAGAAGGGACATATTATAGCCAGCAGGTGTCCAATTATATGGTTAAGAAGAATCAGTTAAGGTCTTCTTGTGGTTGCAACACTATCTGCTAAAGGTTCAATTTGTGTAACCCTAGGTGTCTACACACCTAGATCCTATTCCAGAAGGTTCTGCTGGGGCTTTGTGACTGATGAAAGAGACTTTGTCGAATTGCTGGTGGTAGCTTGGAAATTTCGAGCTACCAGGGCAAAAGACATGGGTCTTCAATTACACACTCTCCCCTTAGCACATAGATCTTGCGCCCCTTGATTTATAGGAAGCTTATATGTCTGAAAAAATAGTGATAGAAACTCAGACCAAATCACTAGTATGCAACAGTACACATTTAAAAGCCGATCATATAGTTTTTGCCATCACTGCACTAGCTGAATCTTGTCCAGCTGAATTATTTTTAAGATTGTTAGGAGTTTACTAAATCCAAGATCAGAACCTCTTCTGAAGAGGGAATGTCATTTGCTTGCTGTGACAATTTTGCAAGATTTTTTTCTTCATGAAATGTCACACAATGTGACTTGGGGTCCGTTCAAACGGCTCTTTAGATCGGCGCGAGGCATGATTGCCTCACGGAATGAAAGTTAATGTCCAGACACAAAAATCTGGAAAATGTCCGCGCTTCGGAGCCATACTTAAAAGATAACACTTTAAATCTGGAGTTTTTTGTTACCTGCGGGACAACTGTGGACTTTCACCCGTCTGATCGTTTCACCAGCGTGCAATCCTCTCGTCGGGGTGGTCTGACGTCAGACCATCCTGAGAGGGCGCCATTTAAAAAAATCTCTACACATGCGTGGATCAACAAGGACGTGCTGTCACATCTATGCACATGTGCAGAAAGTTTTCTTTAAAAACCCCGACCGCACGCCTCCTTCAATGATGCGCTGTGACTCCTATCCACATGTGCAAAAGTTTTTTAAAAACCCACTGCGCATGCCTCCCTCAATGGATGCCGTCTAGACAATCCACAACGGAGGCAGCGTGTGGTAAGGGGGATGTCTGGTCGTGCTACGATGGATTAAAAAGATTGGGATCAAATTCAAACTGGCATAATGGCGGGATTAGCTGCTCGTCTGAACGCACCCTTGGACACTGGTTTAATTGTAGATCTATTACTAGAGGCATTGAAACAAACCACATGTTAAGGCTTTCTGTGGATCCTGACTGAACCGAGTAGGGTCCTTGGAGCTTAAAAGGCATCACTGGCAAGCTTGATCCCTTCCCATCTTGGCTAATTAAAAGTTAGTGGTAGAAGGTGTTTCCCTGTCTAGTGGATAATTAATACCTCCTTGCTGCAGAGCTGTTTATCAAAAGAATTGAAGGAGATGATTGTCGATCCTTTATTTTTAAATAAGTCCTGTCCAACCAGGGGAGATCTGACAAACTATGGATCAGTTTTTAAGCTTCTTTTTTTGGTGGGAAATAGTGCCGGCACAGCAGGTCCAGGGATACATGACTGAAGCTTCTCCACTTGATGCTTTCCTGTCTGGTTATTAGCCTGGTTTCCAACTTAGTTATGGGACACTGATGGCTTTGATAGCACTTGGGTGTGATCTATGGCTGCCACTCTCCAGTGTCAGTGCATCCTTGGTATTATTTAGACCTGTCATCCATCTTGTTGGACCAAAGACCGAGAATGGAATTATTTGACATCTGATCTGCTTGCATTTAAGGCCAGTCCCGCTTCCAGTGGCATGCAGGCATGCATAAGTAAATTCATACATACATACATACATACTGATATAGTGGGCAGGGCCAGCGGTGATTGGTAGTACATGCATTGCAAGGGGACTGCAGTGCACTACTGGCTCCTACAAGAACTATATTTTATCCTGATCTAAGCTGCAGCCCAGCCCATTTCTATCCACTCATTTTAATATTTTTTTGCCATCAAGTCAAGCTGGCTTGTAGCAACGTTCAGAGGTGGCTTGCCATAGCCTGCCTCTGCATCATGACCCTGGTATTCCTTGGAGGTCTCCCATCCAAATACTAGCCAGGACCAGCCCCGCTTAGCTTCTGAGATTTGATGACATCGGGCTTGCCTGGGCTATCCAGGTCAGGGCCCAATTGTTTTAATTTCAGTGGAACTTTAGAACGAGTGACTGGGTTGGTTTGCATCTGAAAAATATAGACAGTCTAAAAAAATTATCTCTGACTTAACAATGGAATAATTCCAAGGGATAAGGAAAGCACAGAAAACAGGTACATACCTCGTGTCTTTATTCTGTAAAATAATAAAAAGAAGATCTTAATATATTTGACCAATCACTTGGCAATGCAAGGTTATTATCCTTTAATGAAGAGCAGGTCAACAATGATTCATGAACCCAAGACTGGAGGAGTGACATCTGCTTATGCTCCACATCTGACTGACAGAGAGCCACAACAGCAAAATCTGGTACCCTGGACAAAGTGAAAGAAGAGTGCTCCCACACACTGTGAGCATGATATAAATGTTCACTGTGGTTTTATTCTCCCTGAGGAAGTTTAATGTGAAATGCATACTGTAATGATTCCTTGTTTCTGTGTACGTGTGTCTCTTTAAAAGTTTGGTTGCATGGCTGTGATAGATAGAGTAGAGTGGTTGAGAGAGGCAAGTGTGGTATGATTAGTGGCTGACAGAGAGGGGGAGGGGCTTTGGAAGTGAATCTGGTTGGATGAGTATGTGAGTCAGTCAAGTTTTTTCAGTTAGATGTTGACAGTTGAAGTTAGACAAGCAGTTCTTGTGGTAGCAGTTATAAGCTGACAGCTGGGGTAGTTCAGTGAGACAGAGAAACAGAAGGAAAGCTGAGTGTATAGGAAAAAGTAAATGACTGTTTAGTTGAAAAGTTATAGGAAAGGCTGTATGTCCTGATAAACTGGAGAGAAACAGTGAACATATATGACCTTGAGTTAAACAAGTGTTACAAAGTTACCTGAAAGATCCCTGTCAGTGAGGGATAAGATTGTTTGATACCAAAGCAATTGTTCATTATTTATACATTACTAGTTACATTGTACAACCCTCTTATTTAGTAGTTATTTCAATAAATCCTCTTTCATCCAAGTTTATACCAGCTCTGAATGAAATACTTCCCAGGACCACATAGATCCCTGTAAGCCTTGAACTCGGTCTACCAAATAAAAAAAAAGAGCAATAGTAAAAGCATAAAGGTTTGGAAATCCTTAAAATTTCCTGGTGGCAGCCTTATATACCCAGTAAAACAAAATAAAGAACACTTTTAAAGTGAAACCAAACCTCCAGAATAAGGAGGTCATCACACATACCCCTGTGCATTTCACATTAAGCTTTCTCAGGGAGATCTGTGGAATATTACCGCAGTAATGATGGTTTAGCGTGGTTTAGTGGGAGCATTGCTGTGTTTATATTCCACAGATACTCTTGAGAAAGCTTAACACAAAACATATAAGGGTAGTAATGTTTTGGAATAGAATTTTCTTTCCACTACACCATTGTTTTGTCTTCATCTCTTAGGAAAAATACAAGCAAGACCATCATAATTCAGAGTTCGGTATGAAATAGGGCTGATCAAACACTATTAATACAACTGCCACATTTTCCTTCTGTTCTCTACCTTCTGAGGGATCTGTGGGTCTCCTCTAGTGCTAGAGAGATCATCTGCTACTTTTTGTATTTTCAGTGTCAGGTCTCCATATTTTTATTCTTCCTCCCAGAAAGCCAAGGGGCAACCGAACACCAGGACCATTTCAAATGTGCATACCTGCTCAGCCGCTCACATAGGATACTTGCAAAACAACTTCTTAAGATCATGGCCTGAGTCAGGGCCCTTCCCCCACCTCTGTCTTAAAACATCCATCCTCATTAAGAGTTCTGGAGAACCTGAAAGCTTGCATATGTTTTTGTTTTCGTGTCATTTTTGTTGGTCCTAATACAAGACATTATGTGGCTATTCCTTTGGAATGCACTTTAGACCAGTGCAGCTACCTGCAACCTCTTTCAAGCACCACTGACTTCTATAAAATATTGTCTGGGTCAGGACAAGTAACTTTCTCCCCCTTTTTCTAGAAGTATGTATTTTGTGTGTGTGCATGCGCACGCACACACTCACCCTAGTAATGAAGCTTTCTTTTTTCTCCCCCCAGCAATCTACACAAGACCTGGGAACTTAATGAACAAGTGTGTTGCGGGCAGTGGCTAGAAAAGCTCTTTAATGGCTGCCACTACTCTGGTATGGGTCTCCTCAGAAGGGCCCAGAGCACCTACCCAACCCCTTTAACCACTCCTTTTCCAGCAGATACCACCTTATAAGTGACCGAATGAGGTGTTAAAAGACACTGGGGAAAGTCTGGTCCTAACACTTGCCAATGGGCCACGGACTGACTTTCCCCTGTCTGATCACTCATGCACAATCTCAAGCCATCAAGATGGTCTGCTCATTCCATCCCAACTCAGTGCCATTTTTCCCCTCGCTTAGCAGTATGCACATAACCACATGATCCATGGGGAACCCTCAGTGCAGAGGTGTGATTCCTCGTTTATGCACATGGGAAACAAAAGGCAAAAAAACAACAACACAAACCACTTGCCCAAGGTGGTGTCTGATCATGCAGTGACAGGCTGAGCCCACAGCACAAAGGTATGTGTGATTGCATGACTGCAAGTCAAATTCCACCAGAGGGAAATAGGGGTGCTTCCCCTCCACACCAACTGGCACATCTGATCACAACCTAAGTTCTCTTACAATCCCTAGCTATAGACATGCTTGTACCCTTGCCAGATTAACACTTTCCCTTATGGAGAGTTAATGGGGCATTTTGCAAATATTCTATTCTCCAATTGGCTATGTGATTTTGCATCTGGAATGATACGTTGGATCATCTGTTGTTATTCTGCCTCACTGGTTAACACTCAGGTGTGTCTGGATTTGGCTGATTTTGTTTAAATACCATCTACCTATGGAATCTTGGGTGGTATCACAATTATTGGCTGATTCTGACCCTGAAATAACCTATCCAGTTGCAAAATATTTAGCTATAGTGATTTCACTGAAACATCAGAGAAATATCTGTAATTAATTATAAACATCGATGTTAAATCGAATATATTTGGCTCTGATCATAATCAACTTTGACTCTCAGGTTTTATTGTAGTTTGTAATTATACAGGGTCTATCCCACATTAATCCATTTGTTAAGTAGTTATTGACTATATTAATCCGCTCATATTTTAAGCTGTTTTAAACTTATGATTTTATGATCCTAGGGATGTGGTATCCCTTGTGTACTCTGCTATGTAATTTCGGTTTTAGCTTTATGTGATATCACTTCATTGTTTTAAATTGTTCTGCTAAGCTTAAGACCTTTGGTCAAATGAGCTAAATAAATTTTAAAAATGTAATTCAGGTAATCTGTAGGGGAAATGAGAACAGTAAAGATAGGTGAACCAGCAAAATAAAAAACCCTAACATGTCAAGTAGACTGTTCCTAACAGTCTCTTGGTATTTGGCCTCAAACTGACTCACCCCTTCTGGATGAGGGATCTGTCTGCAGAAGCCTCTCCCCAGCTCTGCTCCTTGGGAGTGAACCCCCTCCTCTTTGGGGCAAGGCCCACCCCTCACACCCAAATTGGTTCTAGTTTTCCCTCCAAATCCCCCTTTTGCCAACCACAGGGTCCAGAGGTTGTCTCGGAAATGTAGGCCTGGTAGCCACTTTATTTTAGGAAGGTTGAACCCGATTATATCCAGTCTCAGTATACCAAGTGAATGTCGGGCAGTGCAATCCTGAGGGCTGTCTCTCCACCCCAGTGGGAGTCCGCTGCACCTGTGGTGTCACTAGTCCACTCCCTAACGGGTTCCATCAGAACCTGGGAGGCAGCCAGATGATTGTTAAGCGGGGCTATATAAGCTGCAGCTGCACTGGCATCCCCAGCAGCCAAGCTGTTGCTGCCTGAGCAGGTCATGGGGTGCAATGGCAGGGCCATGAGAGACAGGGTAGAAAGAACCAATCACTCCTGAGGCCCCTGCAGGTCTTCCCCACCAGTGGCAGAGCAAGTTGGGGGGGCGGCAGTGCAGGCCCCGCTGTGAGAGCACACCGAAGTGCCAACAGATCCCCCAATAGCCTCTCGATGAGCACCTGCCTACCCTCGATGACCTTAGCAACAGCCAGCAGCCAGGGCCATGGACACAACTGTTGCCACAGATGCCACCAGCCCCTCCAAGTTCTGGTGACCCCATGAAAAGGATCCCTCTACTTATGGCAGGTCTTCAGCTGCTTTGACTCAATTGCTGCTCACATGGAAGATAGAGTGGGGGAGAAAGGCTGTTCTGGCCCTGGGCACTGGGCCTGGAGCCCTGGCAAGGGTTCCGAATATCCTGCATCCCTGTGAGCCCCAGCAGCCGTAGCACCTGGGACCTGAGGTGGCGGTCTGGCTCCCTCCCCAGTACCCTCCCCATCCCCCCCCCACTCCATTCCCCCTCTGAGGACACATGCTGCACTGATACTAAGCGGGAGATTACTGAGGCTGTAGACAGTTTTTTTGGCAGATATTCTTAAATCCAAACCTGACTAAGTATGACTGTATGTGCAATTATTTACATATGGTAAATCTTCTTTCCATTCTGTATATACTTGGTTATGTATATTATGCCATTAAGGGTCAGAATTGAATTGAAATTTAAATGCCTCCCAACAAAAAAAAATATCCTGGTTGCGGACCTGCACATCACCCTCATCGTCCCCTGGGAGGAACCGCAGGTGTACCACAACTGGCATTGCTTCTACAGTCTGAATGTCCAGGCCACCTGCAGCCACCAGGACATCTTCATGGACATCATGGCCAAATTCCCAGGCAGTGTACCTGCTGCACAGATCTTCGCAGCCTGAACTGCCTGTTGGCTGCCTGGCTGGATCCTGATAGTTTTCCCTCCTCCCATGGCAGGTGACCAGGGTTACCCTCTCCTCCCATACCTGCTTATGCTGTATAACTCCCCCCCCCCGAACTGCACTGTCTGTTATGGCTCATGCTGCTATAAAATATAAAAGCATAAATTCCATTAATTATATGAGACTCGAGATATATTTCCATGAAAGAGGAATATTGGGAAGTATCCTACCATAGGCTGGAGGAAATTCCTCCAATTTAAGGAGTCTTTCTCTAGCCTAAGTCATCTTCATCCAATGGAAGTGGCTGTTCCTTCAGCAGAAGAGCCACTTAAGCTGGAGGAAGTTTCCTTCAGCTTGAGGAAAGTTTCATACTTTGTTTTGTGAAATGGTAGGAAATAGGACGTTACGAATATTACAACAGCAACAAGTAGTAAGTGGTTGCTCGATGACAGACCTTCTTTAAGATACCCTTGACCTTCCATAGAACCTTAATGGGAGAACTGCAGAACCAGTGAGTCAAATGGATACAACCACTTGTAAAGATACTGATGTAGGAGGAAACAATGCAAGGTGTATTGTTTCTTTCATAATACTTACAGTGGCTTTTTGTCTTGTTTGGGCTTTGGCTGGCAGTGGGTGCGGATATATCTTGCCAGCAAGAAGGTCAGATAACCAAGAAGTCCAAGGAGGAGCAAAATGCCGAGACAAATGATGAAGGGCACATACCAAGCCGAAACAACATAGACATTTTCTCTACTCGTCACAAGGGTAACACCAGGCTTGTAAAATGAAATTCAAAAAGAAGTATGGATATAGGGGACACAAAATTGTAAGCAGTGGCATTAAAAATTATGACATTTGAATTTACCAGATTTAATTGTATTATCCAGGGCTTAAGCTGAGATGACTCACTGTACTTGTTGGAAGTGGAGGACAATGCAACATCTCTCTGCACCAAGTACACCAGAAAGGCTGAGCCAGCTACTAGGGCATCAGAGTCTGGGAAGTTGGAAAATGTTGAGACGAGTCTCTTTTACTGGCTTGAAGGGGAAACCTGGCTTCTAGAATCTCCGTATCTGTTGACTCTGGTCCCCTATAGCAGTCATGGTGGAACATGCAGGACTTTGAAGAGCTTCTCTATTTTTATTTTTACACTGTTCATTTTGAATGCCCAGTAAACAAAACATTCATTCTAGAGTTTGGAAATTTATACCTATTGCATTGTGGGGGGTGCCACATCGTAGCTTGCCTAGGGTACTAGAAAACCTTAGGCTGGCCCTATACACCAATGCTGCAGAGGGGGCAGTAGAGTTTGGAAGGTGAACAGGTCCCATCACTCTGTATCCTTTCCTCTTGCCTGTTCTGCTTCTCTGATTGCTATCCTTGGGGACTTTCTTCCTTTTGGCTTAATGTCCTTCTTTGTTCCAGTGAGATAAAGGGACTATACATAAAGCACATAAATAAATAAATCGACACCAGTCCATATTCAAAGTTCAGTGTTCTAGCAGACTTACTGTTGTTGGGACCACAGTGGTTGGATTTGGAATGACTTTGACGGTTAATGTCACTGTACCCGTCTGAACAAGGGCAGTAGAGCTGTTTTCCACTGATAACAAATTATCATCTGTTATGAAAACTTCCAGCCTATATTCCCAGACTGTATCCAGTCCTCTTTCATAATCAAATGGGGAAACAAGAATCAGCCGTGAGATACCAGAGCCGGCGCTTGGCGAAAAAGTGAAGTGGTTATTCACATTACCTAACAGTGGAGTTGGAGAAAACTCAGAGTCAACAAGACACATAAGAACACAGTTTGAAGAAAAACAACTGTATGGATAGATTTATGACATGATCAGTTTCCATGGGGAATACTGCATACATGTTTTCCCATTGAGAAATACTGCCTGCATGCAAAGAAAGGTATCTATCCCTTATATTAAGTACATGCTGACAGATTCAGGTAGCCAGATGGAATTATAGTGCAAATCCTAAATCCCACTGGGCTAAGAGGGGTATAACTCTGTTTAGGTTTGCACTGTATGGTTATCATGTGATGACTCTAGCAATCTTCTGATAATTGCAGGACTGATAGTCATATTGTCCCAAGTCATTTGTCTCTCTCGATAATGTTTTATTGTATTGTATTGCTACTGTTAATGATTAACTAGGGCCCCTGTCACATGGGGGGGAATAGCACGGGCAAAGTGCGGCTTTCTAAAGCCGCACCAAAAGAGAGATGCGGCGGCGGGATCACATAGATCCTCTGAGCCACCGCACACTTCCTCCCCGGCACGATCAGATGCCGGGGAGAAGCCACTAATGAAAGAGCGCGACAGCCGAACTGCGCATGTGTGCGCGTGTGCAGTTCGGCGGGGAGCCTGGATTGATCCGGATGACGGGCGCGGCGGCGATCCCACGGCCGCGCTTGCAGCAGTGCTTCAGGTAAGTCCTCCTCTGTAGGAGGTTCTTTTTCGCAGCGGGTTTTCAGGATTTAGGGACGGATTGGGGATGGGTGCGCGCCACTTCCCAGATGTTGTGGTGAGATCGCGCCCGTTTGCTGCACCCCTGATCCATCCCTCTCCCGGGCCAAAGTCTCCCGTGTGACCGGGGCCTAAAATATACAATCAACAAAAAACCCTAGACTATTACATATAGCAGTTTGGATCCACTGGAGTGTTTCTGCAGGGCAAAAGGTTTTTCACCTTCCTCCTTCCACTGGAGCTCCCAGGAACAGATTTGGGGGGACAGTTGGTGCTGTAATGGGAGGCAAGAAAATCATCCTCTGCAGACAGAAATCCTTCTGTCCACAGAAGCACTCCAAAGGATCAAACCCATGATTCAGAATCTGTGACTCTAAAATGAATACAACAGATAAGATGTGCAGAGGACAGTGTGACAGTTTGTGATTCCAACACTTAAGCTGTTACATACTTTAAATCTGCAACTTACATTTAAAATACTTTAACTTCACACAGAGGATGTTTAGGTACTAGGTAGGAAACCAGGAGTTGGATGCAGCCCCTTCTTGCTTGTGCAAGTGATGGGGAAACACATCTATCATTGCATAATGTGGAAACAGTCCTTAAAAAGAACTGTAATGTGAAGCCCCTTATTACCATACAAACCCACCCAAGGGAAAATACACGAAGCAGACCTTTAGACTGCCAGATGCGAGCACCAGTAAACTGAGAGAATCCCTGTGTATTATGCGGATGGCGACATTGCCAGGACTCAAGACTCTCTGGCCTTGCTGCAGCCTTATGGGAGTGGACAGCACATCTTGGAACCTGTCCACCTCTGCAGCTGTACATGTAGGGGAAGGTCAGTAATGATGTCAAGCTATTTTTAAAGAAAGCTTCCTGTTACAATTTACAACACAGGAATGATTTTGTTATAATATATACCTGCTTTAGGAAAGGCTACCAACAGCCTACAAGACTTTCTGCATCCAACAGCTTCTGTTGTGCACCTTGACAGTGAATATCAAGAATCCAAAAGCAAAGTACCTGAGTTGATAGAGTAACGGAAAGATCTGGGACTTGAATCCCGATCGACACATGATATATAGAGACCGTTGATGTTGGTGCCAGGAGTCAGGTCCACGGGAACCTCCAGCAAATGTGAACTGGGTGAGCAAACTGGCTTTTCATCATTTGCTTCAAGAACATTCACTGTTACCTGAAAGATGGTTTAAAATGATAAACCAGAAGGTTGCACTTTCTATTCAGTGGCAGGTGCTGACCTTCTTTTTCTTAGCTGAGCAAGAAGAAAAAGGCTTGTTCTGCCAAATCCTATTTATGTCTTCAGATTTCGGGAGACAAAAGTGTAAAATGTTTTAAACCAAAGATTTTTTAAAAAAAATACAAAGGAACCAGTTTTACAGGACAATGAGTCATTCAGTTGTAACACACTTATGCAGAAAGACACCTGGGTCCATGCAGGATTTTTCCTCTTTAAAATCCTACCACATATCCCCCAATCAGTCTTCCAACCCTACCAAGGGTCTAACCTGTTAAAAACACTTGTGAAGACATAACTGTTGGAGTGTGCAACTCAGCATACCTGGACGTTGGGGGGGGGGAACTTAATCACTCTTAAGTGTTTAGAGGTGTTACCTCCTTGTGTGAGATGCCTCCCTTTGTCTTAACCTGAGAGCTTCCCTCTGACCGCTCTCCCCTCTCTCTCTCTGTCCTCTCTCTCTTCAGACGTGTCGAACTCATTTGTTACAAGGGCTGGATCTGATATAAATGTCACTTTGTCAGACTGGGCCATGTGTGCCGTAAAATGTAATGGTACCAGAGATATAAACTTTGTAAAGGACACAGGCAAGCCCAATTAAAGATATTATTTTTTACTCAAAATACAAACATGCTTAAAACATTAACACTCTTAGAATATTCTCTTTATTTAACCATCTTTGATAACAGACACCTCTTGCTCTGAATTACTGCGACAAAATCTGGAGTCAACGTCTGTGTTGTAGCAATCTTGAGTATGCTGTTTAGGTGTGTATCTGTAACCCGAGAACCTACTTTTGATTTATTGACATTTATTACAGAAAAGTTCACAGATAAGTTGTCCCAAACATAGACAGAATTTTAGAAGCAAAAGCCTTAAGTTGGGGGTAATTTGGACCCAAAAACTGGTAAATTTGATAATGTCAACTGCAGAAAGCTTATCCTTCAGTACAGCATCATACTGATCTCCCACCTACCTGCAATTTGAGGCATCCTTTCATTGGTAGGTGGGGAGCAATGTGAATGTCCCATTCTGTTGACTGCACTGACTCACTAGGTGTAATCCACCTTGAGTACATCTCTGACCTTAGAGAAACTTTTCCTGTTCATCCCTCCACATCCCTGTCACAAGTAATCCCAGGAGTCCTCTTCCCTCTCTGAAAATACACTTCCTCAGTACACCGGATCAGCAAGTTTTTTCTCTGCAACCCTAGAAGCATTTTTGTGGGTGAAGCGGGGTTCATTCCCCACTTAGAGAGGTCCCCCATGTACACATTCTATAGATTCTCTAAGGAACTGGAGCCACCACCCTCAACATTTGCTCAATCCACCACAAAAATCATGAACCCTCCACAGATTCACCAGACACCCGTCAATGACCAGAACTCCTAAATCAGCCCTTTTCTCCCACCAACTCTGTGTGATTCATCCACACCCATCCACTCTCCCCCAAATCTCAAGTCTGATCCCCACTGACCACTTCTTTTCTTGCGCTTCAGTCCCACTTGGAGACCTGACCTTCCATAAAGAAGGTGCTGAGGTTCAAGCATGGGGACTAACAGCTGGGATACCCAGGTTCATAATCCCTGCTCTGCCATGGAAGCTGCTGGGTGACCTTGGGCCAGTCACTCTCTCAGCCTAACATACCATGCACAGTTGTTGAAAAGACAAAAACATAGATGGGGAGAACAATACTTGTAAATTGTTCTGGTTCCCCATTCGGGGAGAAAAGCAAGGTACAGTTGCCTAGAAGATAAAAATGATGCTGAGGCAGAACGCGCGTGCTCTGGCCTGCAGGCCCTATTCTGCCCTGCTCACCTAGGTGTGTCTCCACACCTGCAAAGGCTTTTCTTCCACTTCTGGGTAGCCCGCTGCCACCACCTGATCTTTGTAAGGAATTGCCCACTGGGAAAGTCAGGACTCCCACCTTCCCTTCCAAGTTCTGAGGCCTTGTATCTGTGTCTCCCGCTGCATAGCACCTAGTCACTATTGGGACAGTTTACTGCTTTGCACGCCCCTGGAGGAATAGCCATTTGCCAGCTGCCTCCCTCCCTCCTGGTACTCCTTTTAAAATAGTGTGTCTGAGATGGTGGAGGTCTATGTAGTACAGAGAACCACAGCCAGCATCAAAAGTTATAAAGTATTTACTAAAAAGAAAATGTTCATAAGCGTACTTTTAGCGCAACACCAGACTGAGCACAGGATTCCAAAGAAATAAGTAAAATTCAAATCCTCTGTCTGTCTCTCTATACGTGCCCTATCAGATGTTAAAATATAGGACAGGACCCTTTAGCTTAGATAGTTACAAATCCCTACAAAATTTCTTTTACCTTGAATCTCCCTTCAGCTCTTTAGGCCAGCACATGGTCAAAAATGGCTGCCTTCCCAGAGGAGGGGTCTGCGTCCGCTCATGGACTCAGCATCCAAGAAAAAGAGGGCTCCTTTCTGTTTCAAGGAGTTTTTATCATATCTGTTTTTATCATACGTTTTTATTATATCTGTTCAGGCCAGGTCAGAGAAGCTTTCCCTGAAAATTCTAAGCATTTTCTTCCTGTATCCCTCTAGCGTTTCATTCCTCCCAAAAGCTCTGTTCCCTGCTTGAGGGGGGGGAGAAGCGGGGAGCCTGGCCATCCCATTACCTCTAGCTAGACCTATGTAGCATTTCTTAAGAGGTAGCTAAGGTGGGCCTGGAAAGCCATCGACTGACTTCCTCCTTCCAAATCTGGTCTCTGCCCAGAGGGAAAAAAACTGTTAAAATGCCAAGTGGAGGCTTGGCTTCTTTCAAACCTCCCAGGACAAAATGGCATTTCTTCACAGATGCAACAAAATCTCATTTAGTCTTTGTGGTGGCTCAAGACTCCTGTTTTATTTTAGCCTCCAACTATACCCCTGGTCTTGCATGCCATCCCCCCCCCCAACACCCTCAGCACCTTCCCTCACCCCAACAGCTATATTTCTCCTCCCTTTCCAAGTGCAGCTCCCAACACACACCCCACTGCATGCACTTCAACCCTTCCTTTCCATGCCCCTCCCTCCAGTCCCTTACACTCCTCCCCATTCTGGCATTCACATTCCTACACTTCCCCTAATGCCTGCTTCCATCAGCAGCTCTCCACCACCACCTTCACACATAATGACTTTCTCCCTCTCTTCTTCTTCCTTTCCTCCTCCCAAAGGGCTGCTTTTCTGGCACCGCAGCAGAGAAAGAGTGAGAGAGGTGGGCAGAGGAGAAGAAGGTGGTGGTGACAATGGCAAAGGAGGGGGCTTCTGCTGTTGAAGTGAAGGGGAGGCCCAGTGTGCACATGCACTGATGGGAAGGTAGTGATCCCCCGCCTCTGACAGGAGGAGGAGAAAGGGTAGCAGCTGCATGTTTACAGCCTGGCATAGCAGAGAGCGAGAGGAAGGGGGGATGGACCCTCCAGCCAGCCAACTTGACACGTGTCTTTTCGCTGCTCTTGCTGCCGCCACAACCACCTTCCTCTTCCTTTCTTGTGGGCGGGATAACAGACCTGGATGGGCTGGTTCTGGCACATGGGCCATATGTTTGACACCCCTGCTCTACATGGACTTCCATGGAGACAGATGTCTCTGCAGGTCTCTCCTGTAGAGACAGTGCCCTCATACTCCCACACACATGATGCCAGACAAGCTGGCCATTTGTGATAGGGAAAGTACTCTTTAGAATAGGCTTCGTTCTCTCCTTTCGACTGCAACCTGAAAGTGAACTGAATCTACTTGAATAAATGTAAGTTTACCTTTTTTGCAATATACTTCTTGGGAAGTTTATTTACTGCACTCAGTATCATGCTTCTATAATAAACTTTGGTATATTAACCAAATATCCCAATAATGACCACCTCCCCACCCCCCACCCCAATGATCAGAATGCCTTATTATCAGCCTCCTATGCTGGGAGTGAGGGAAGGTGGCATGGTATAGCCCGATCTTGTTAGATCTCAGAAGCTAAGCAGGGTCAGTACTTGGAAGGGAGACCTCCAAGGAAGACTCTGCAGAAGGTAATGGCAAACCACCTCTGCTTCTTGCTTGCCTTGAAACCCCTGGGCTGGGGTCACCATAAGTTGGTTGCAACTTGATGGCACTTTACATACACACACACACGGAGCAAAAAGACCCTGATATTATCTGGGTTTACCCCCTTATCATGAGCTGGATGTGGGTAAGTAGAAGATGAGACATTCCAAGAGCATGGAATTGCAGTCTCAACTCTAAAAATGATGTATTATAAAATGAAATCAAAATGTAAAAAGCTGGAAAATTCTAAAATTGCCAAAGGTATTTGTCACAATCCCCGCCCTCGCAGTAGTAGGGCCTCTCTGCCTGCACCTTTCCCCCTGACTGTCTTAAAGACTCGGGCTATATATCACTCTCTTGGGGGTCAGTTCAACCAGCACAGTAATAAAGGTGTGTAAAACAATTTGATTGCTTTTTGTTCTTGGTAGCCGAACACCTTCAAAGGCGCGACTCATGGGCTAAAGACTCTGTCCAGTTTATATGTTTTTATTAAAAAGAGAATATAACCAAAAAGTTCAAGTAGGGGGAAGAACAAAGATACAGAGCACAAATAAAACAAAGAAACCTTATCTTACTAGCTACATACATACATAAGCTTGAGCTCAGAGCTCAACAGCAGCACTAATAGGCTTGGGTTCTTGCCAGGTAGAGCTTTCCCTTCTTTCTCTGGTATGGTCCCAGTCCCAGGTTACCATGCACTTGCTTGAAAGGGTGGTGGAGTCCTCTTGCACAAATCCCAGCATAACTTGAGCTGCTGCACCGATATCTGACACAGTCTTCAACCTTCCTCTAGTCTCCCTGACTGGTTGGTTTAATCTGAGCTATTCCCCTTAAATAGTAGCTCAGGTGTCAAACAATTAGAGGTAATTGCTACCCAGCACGTGGTGACTCTAGATCACAAACTGTCAAGATCTTGGCAAGTCACAGTTAAAGTCGACAGTTCACAGCTGCATGGAATGTTACAACTGATTATAGGCAACAGGTGTTTGCTGTCAAAAGTTACCCTTTTTCATGCAGGTGGTTCTGCTACAACTTACTAGTGCCTTATCAGTGCAACCACTTACAAACCAACAGGCCTGTTACGTGACAGTATTCACAAGTAATAAGACAACTTCCATCAGTGACTGACTGGTGCCAGATTTTAAAGCCAGATAGGTTTAAAAAACAGCAGTCTTTAATGACTGAAGTCTTTCTATTCAAGCCATTTAAAATGGAGTAGGCTATGTGTTCCCTCAGAACAAAAGGCCAGCCAGCAGCAGAAGCTCCAGCCATTCCTCTGCTTTCTCAGAAGAAGCCAATCTCAAGAGCTACTGTAAACATAGATCCAGTTCCCTGAGCTTTTCTCCTTGCATGCCAAAGATGAGCAGGATGTTAAAACAGCTCTGGAAAACGCTGAACCCAGTGAACTCAACAGTGCTGGCTGTGCTGTAGGGTCCACTCAGCTTTGACCCAGGACATGGTAGGGCTGCCAAGCCGCGGTGGGGGATCCGCACATCTTCACAGGATCCCTGCCGCGGGGGACAGCAATATGCGTTGCATCGCCGTCGCCAGGATGTGATGCTACGCGTCGCTCTGGCAATGTGCAGATCCCCCGCCGCAGCTTGGCAGCCCTAGGACATGGTGCCTGACAAGGGGGAATGGTGAGGGTTTGGCCTTTAGACAAAATGGAGCCAGTCAGGTCAGCTGACCAAATGTTTGAAAAGCTGGGATACTCCACAACAGTAAGCTCTCCTCCAGCAGCTGCACCCCATGAGGACTGTGAAGAAAGGCATTTTCTCCTAGGAGGTTGGCACTGAGCAAAAGCCTCCACTGTGCATTTTAAAAGTTTTTCTTTTCTTTGGGCAGAGAACAGGCATGGGGAGAAGTCTGTGCAAGGGCTTTCCAGATGTACCTCAGCTCAGCTGCATCCAAATGCTAATAGATCTGGCAGGAGAGGTAATGGGTGGGTCAAGCTATTCCTCCTAGCAGGGAACAGAGGTTTGGAGGACTCTAGACTAGCAAGGCTCCAAGAATAATCTCCAGAAAGAAGCTACAGGAAATGCTGCCTTTTGGCCTAGTTGGGTCTGTGGGTGGAGAAACAGATATGATAAAATCTCCTTGCAACAGAAAGGAGCTCTCTTTTCCTTGGGTGCTGCATCCATGAGCACACATAGACCTCTCCACTGGGAAAACAGCCATTGACCATGTACTCACCTAAAAAGCTGGAGCAAGCTAAAGAGCCTGCTATTTCTGTACCAGAACAGGCTGAAAATACTACATTTGTAACTAAAGGATTCCATTTGTAGGTTTCTCAGTGCAAAAGTTCAATGGAAGTGAAACATTGTTTTTTAGACATTACTTTCCTCAATGTTTTGTTCGTATAAATAATAGCTTTCTTGTTTTATTAACTCTGGGGCTGCATGTCTAAAGGGAAGAAGCGCACACTCAAAATTTAATATCTCAGTCTACATACATATATTCTAGGATATTAATTAATGGTGACAGCAAGTGATTGGAGCCCCCACCCCAATAACTCTGTGTGAGTGAGGACTGATTATTAAAGGGGACTGGGGTGCCTTGGATGTGGGTGTCTCTGGGAGTGAGAGAGAAGACATGAGGTGTGAGATGGTCATAGCTCCTGACTTACTTATAAACCATAACCTGAAGGATGAGAGAACAAAGTTTGAATCCAGTGGCACCTGAAGAAGAGAGGTTGTAAAGGGAGATCGTAAAGGCACTCTGTTTGAGTGGACAAGGGGTGTCACAGCATTTTTGCATAAGGATTGGCTTTTACTCACTTGTGCAGTCTGTGTCTTGTGCTCATTGTCAGAAGCCTGTATGGTGAGAAGATACCTCTTAGTTATTTCATAGTCTAACTGAGCAACAATTTGTACAGTGCCCTCCTCAGGATCAATCCAGAATATTTCAGAATAATCCAAGGTGCCTCCTCCATCCACAATCGAATATGATATTCCAGTAGAGGGTATATCCTCATCTGTTGCAGTCACTGTTCCAATTTTGGACATCACTAAAATTAAGCAGTATTGGAAAATGATTGTTAGATACACAAGTCCAAAATATAAGCATATAATTAAACTCTCCATAGGGTATCATAGAGACCTGTCTTGTGTGGTGGTTAGAGGTCTGGACTAGGATCTAGGAGCTTGCTGGGTGACCCAGACCAATCATTCTCTCTGATCCTAGCTTATCTCACAGGGTTGTTATGAGGATAAAATGGTGAGGAAAGAAGAACTACGTGTGCTTCTCTGAGCTCCTTAAAGGAAGGGCAGGATTTAAAAGTGTTCTAGATCAGGGGTGTCCAGGTCAGCTAATTACAAGGCCCAGAATTGTCTTAATTGGAGCTATACAGGCTGCAGCAGGCCCTGCCCCTTGACATCACCCAGATGAAGAAGGGGATCTGAACTCAGGTTTCTGTAGATAGATCTGCTTAGGACTGCCGTCTCACAGTGCACATTCTCAGCATGGGCATTGCTTACCTGCTAGTATTTCTGATGCATTGAATACATATGAAGGGCTACTGAAGACTGGTTCAAACTCATTGACAGGGAGTATTCTAACAAAAATGTAGATATTATCTGTAAATATAGCAATTAAGGCAGGTGTAAGTGGGAAACATTGCTGCACATCCTATTTGAAAGAAACCTTTTCTTCCCCCAAAAGAATGTCATAAAGACCAAAAGGAATACTTGCTACGATAGAAAGGCCAAACAATATCTTGCACCACAATGTTCAGAATATAGTCCTTCTCTGCTCCACCAGTTTCATTTTCAAGATCCACATTTCCCACCAGCTGCATTAAAACAGATATAATTTCATTTTAATGTAAGGTTCTTACACAAAAAAAAGGTCTTTGAGCTGCTTACAGTCAACTTTTCAGATTTTAAAAAATCATTTTTGATTAATTTACTGCCTAAGCCCAAGCATGTTTACTCAGAAGTAAATCCCACTTGGTTCCATGGGACTTCATTTTATAATAAGCAAGCACACGATTGCAGCCTGTCTGTTGCTTTGCTCTGTATTTTATAGCTGCTATACGTTTAGTGTTGGTATATGCTATAAATTCTTCTTTGATTTCAAAAGAAAAGTAGAAAGCAGTTTTTTAAACAAACTATAAAGTTGCATATGTGCACATCACTCTGCTACGCTAAGATTTCCTAGGCTAACAATCAGTGCTTTTGACGGGGCATCCAGTGTACACAGACAACAGGGGAATGCACAGTTATTCCTAGCCTAGATGCTTGCCCTGATCCCCATTCTGTTTCCCGGACTCCAAGAAACATTTAAGCTCTCTAAAAATGAGTAGAGTCACCATCATCTAATAGATTAGACCAGTAAGATACCTTATCGAATTTTTCTTTTGCAAATAACAAAGAAATGGCTGTATCCTGATTTTATCCTGTAGGATGACCACCGCGCTAAGAGGAAGAAGAGCATGAATATGCTATGCACAGAATGATCATTTTAAAGAACAAAGGAACAGAATTTTTAAAAAACCAAGAGTTTATATGGCAATAAAGTTTAAAAGGAGTTAAGTATCTCAAAACTACAGAAGTCATTAAAAGTGGGAGGGGGACAGAGAAATTCAAAATTATCACACTCCCTAGGGTAAAAGTTTTGTCAGACCGGATTCAAAACGTTCTTTACATTCTGGTTTTAAAAATGAAGACTGCCACATAGGGAAGCCACTAGTAGAAACAGGAAGTTCATCCTCTGCTTAGTAATCATCGGCTGCGGTCACACGGAGCATTAGCCACGCTACAGAGACGGAAGATAGGTGGATTTTCCGGGCCCGAACACACCGCTACATCTGGGAAGCGTAGAGCTCCCGTGGCTAACGTGAGGCTTCCCGCTGAAGATGCAGCATAAAAAGCTAGTACCTCCGAGGTACTAGTTTCTGGAAACCACGGGGCAAGGGCGGGCATCTGATCGCGTTTCCGGTGGTAGTTCGTGGCATTCGGCACCCGCCCATGTCCCATCGCAAAAATGTTTTTTCCCCCCAAGTCTCCACGGGATGCGCACAAGCACCCAACGGTGCATGCGCACACTTCAGTTTAAAAAAAACCACAACCCCATTTGCCACGGCAGCGGTGCCTAGCCATTGCTGCTGTGATCGCGCCGCACCGCTTCTTTGCCATGCCGCAGGATTGTCGTGTGATCGGCATCTCCCCCCGAACCACGGGACGTCGGCGGGAGGTGTGATCCAGCAGCCGCACGTTAGTTTGCTCCGGGGCAAACAGCCACCCCACATTTTCCAGCCCGTGTGACTGGGGCCATCCACTGGAATCCTATGAATGAGTCCTGTATGTCCTAGGCTGCTCCTGCACCAGGGTAATTTTGAGTGGTGGTCTGTTTGCTGGTGCAATTGTGTGTGAAATTGCCCTTGCAATGGAGACTCTAGATGGCACAGGGGAATTCATTTTCTCTCCATTGTTGGCCATGGTATCCCTTTCACACCTGATATGCATCAGAGCCCTCCTCTACTGTGTTCTCACATGGCCCGCAGGACTCTCCACCTACTCTGCTATTTTTTTTTTATAGGAACATGGGTAATGCTGCATATGAATAATACAGTGTGTATGTAAAGGTACTGCCAAGTTGCAGCTGAATTATGGCAACCCCCATTAGTAGTTGCATTTTTGTTGTTGTTCAGTCGCAAAGTCGAGTCTGACTCTTTGCCACCCCACATCACACCAGGCACTCCTGTCTTCTGTCATCCTCCGGAGTTTGCTTAATTTCATGTTCATTGCATCGATATCACTGTCTAACCATCTAATTCTTTGCCATCCCCTTCTTCTTTTACCTTCAGTCTTTCCCAGTATCAGGGTCTTCTCCAGTGAGTGCTCCCTTCTCATTTGGTGGCCAAAGTATTTGAGCTTCAGCTTCCGTATCTGGCCTTCCAGGGAACAGTCAGGGTTGATTTCTTTTAGGATTGACTGATTTGATCTCCATGCTGTCCAAGGGACTCTCAAGAGTCTTCTCCAGCACCATAATTAAAAAGAATCTATTCTTCGGCGCTCAGCTTTCCTTATGGTCCAACTCTCACAGCCATACAGTACTACTGAGAATACCATTGCTTTGACCATGCGGACTTTTGTTGGCAGGGTGATGTCTCTATTTTTTATTATGCTGTCTAGGTGCAGTGATCTTTGATCCCAGGAATGTGAATTCTGTCACTGCTTCTATGACTTCCCGTAGTTTCATAGCAAGAGACAAACAGAGGTGGGTTGCCATTGCCCACCTCTGCATAATGACCTTGGACTTCTTTGGTGGTCTCCCATCCAAGTACTAACCAAGTACTGGTCTTGTTTTAGCAGAGATAATATTTTCTCCATCTTCTGCTTCCAGTGATGTAATCTATTTGACTTCTATATTGGCCATCTGATGATGTCCATGTATACAATCATCTGTTTGGTTGCCTGAGACATGTTTGTGCAATGAACAAATTGTTGTCTTCACAGAATTGTATGAGTTGCTCTCCTGCTTCTTTCAACAATATTTGATTCTGCTTTGTTCCTACTTTTGCGTTCCAGTAACCTATGTTTATCAGCATATCTTGTTCAGTTGTGTGATCAATTTCTTCCAGGACACTTGCATAAAAGCTTTCCATGTCTCCTTCATTAGCATCTGTAGTTGGGGCATAAACTTGAATGATAGTTATATTGATAGGCTTCTCATGAAGTCTGATTGATATTATTGTCAGACTTTGCATTACAGTCCCTGAGTGTCTGGGCTATATCTTGCCTTACTATTACAGCAACTCCATTCCTTCTGTGTTTGTCATTGCCTGAATAAAACAGTTTGTAATTTTCTGACTGAAAATGTCCTAATCCAGTCCACTTTAGTTCACTCACACCCAGGATTGCAATGTTTAAACATTCCTTTTCTTGTTTTATTATTTTGATCTTATCTTGATTCATACTTCTCATGTTCCATGTTCCTATTATATGTGTCAAACGGCTTTGGACTTTCATTTTACATCCATTCACATCAATAACTATGTTAGCAGTCAGACTCCCCCTCTTGCTGAGGGGCAGTTTATTTTTATAGCTAGAAAATAATAAACACCTTTCCTAAAATATCATCCCAAATATCATAAATGCAGTGCACTGCCTGGCCCAAATGACAGAAAATGGATGCCAGCCAGAGACAAGCCTGGCCATATAGCTCAGAATTGCGAGAAAGAGGGCTGGCTAGTTAACAACCCTCTCCACACCCTGAGGAAATGCATAATTTAGGAACAATGGGTCTCCCATAGAACTGTTGTGTCACATTGCACTAATCCCAACAATGTTCAGCTTCCCTTTCCCGCAACCATTTACCCTATTTAAGCAACACTTCACCATTCACCAAACCTCGTAGCTTTTCCCATCTGATACTTACAGGGTATTCAAAAACCATTTATACCATAGTCCATCTCAGGAAATCCCATCAAGCTTCTCCCAAATTACTGTCTACTTCTTTGGAGGGCAAATACATCAGACTGCCCCAGGGAGCATTTTGCCCTATATCTAGAGTACCCAGCCACCTGTGTGTGTGTGTTCTCAGACCTATACATCAAACCCCCAAATCAATTTAGGCCTCTTTTTCTTATCTCCATGAAATGCTGGTTGTTTTGCTGCTGCCTCTGCGTACCTCTTTCCTTGAGACTGGTAATTATAGCCTTCCCCAAAATAGCTTTCTCCCTCTCCTCCCTGATCTCGTCTTAGCTGGCTTGCATGTTTTAAGTGTGTTTCTTTTAATAAAAACCTTACCGCTTTCCTTGAGACTGGTAATTATAGCCTACCCCAAAATAGCTTTCTCCCTCTCCTCCCTGATCTCGTCTTAGCTGGCTTGCATGTTTTAAGTCCTATTTCTTTTAATAAAAACCTTACCAATAGAACATCTGCCTGGCTTATTTGAGAGTTCTCTTAAAGGGAAAAAAATGTGGTATGTATTGGTGGAGAACCCAGTTACCTGCCTCTCACTCTATCTCCTTAAACAGATTACCCCAATTAAATAGAAGAAGAAATAGAAATAACAACCGAATGTCCTTTCAGCTTTAGTCCAGTTTTGTCATTAAGTTCAGTTTTGTCATTTTGTGCTAGTTTTAATTCCCTCAGTTCTTCCACAGTAGCTGATTAAGTGTTATCCCACCTGGAAGTTCTGTCTTCCAACACTTTATGTTTTGTTTTGTTTTTTCATTTTGGATTGCAAAAAAAAAAATTACGTAAATATCATACTATTTAACTGACCTCAATTCTTCCAGAGCCAGGTGGGTTCTGTGCAAATTTGTAACTTCCTACTCCTGACAGTCCAGTGAAATTAAACAGGTTGTTTGGCGCCACAGCATCATGGTCCCAGCAGACATTTTTCAAGTCCACAATAACCGTTCCTATGCTGATTGTTTCAGAAAATTGTTCTCTGTTTGAAAGAAAGAAATAACCTCTAATGGGTGTTCCAGGCTTCTGATATTTTGCATTTGTATGACACTTTCCTAAGTGATCAAAGCATTTAAAAGGCTGAATCTCAGCAATGTTCCCTAGGACATGAACTCTTGGGAAAAGGAAGTCACTATCACTGACCCCAGCCAGACATATGGCTCCTCCTGTGATCTTGCTATGAAAACTGTGAGCAGATGTCAGGGTCACCAACACTAATGGCACTGTTCATACAGGAAAAGAGGTGCTAAGTCACATGCAAAATTCTCCCTTCCTCCCTTCCTTCACAATGGAATCCAAGTGCCAGGCTGTTTTCTGCCACCACCAGATAACTGCTTGGGCACATGAAGGATTTTTTTTGCAATCAAACCCTAGCTGGATGAAGCCCCAAACAGGTGGGGCTTCTTCCTCTTCAGGGAATTTAAACTCTAGGCAAAGTGGAGCTACCAGCAGTTTGCATGGCCAGTATAGTGCTGTGAGTCTGGACCCAGCATAACTCAGACTGTGATGTGAACTTGATGCAGTGCTGGAGGGCAGACCCCAGCCTAGTTATTGTGTGGATTCTTGCTCCTGAGGAGTCCATAATGAGCTCCAGGACTCTGTGGCTGAACACAGAGCAGCAATTAAGAAGAAACAAGAATTGTGGGCTTGAGTGATAAAAGACAAAGGCTGAAGAGGTGGTGATATGGTCACCAACTCTTGAAATAAAAAAAGAATGGCATTTGAGCATGGCATGGCATGGCACACCAGAGGCCGGGGCCTAACACATCTGAAAATGCTCTGTTTAAGGTATATTGTGCCTGCATGTATCTAAGTCTTCCCTGTGACCTTGGAATACCATCCTTGCATTCTATTAGGCCTTCGTTTTGCTCATTCTTAAAATACAGACTACAACTAAAATACAGACTACGACTGAACCCATCAGAAAGCAGGAAATAATATAATTGCAAAGCAGGTAACTCAGGAGTAAGAGCCAAGCCACAGACTGCTGGTCAAGGCACACATATGTATCATATGTTCAATGAATTTGCCCATTTCCAGATGGGGAATGCTGAGGCAGACCTGAACACTTGCATAAAAGCTTTTGATGTCTTCCTCATCAGCATCTGTAGTCAGTGAACCCATGGCAGGAATCTTAAAACACAAGCACAGTGGATCACTCCAGAAAGTGATCCAAGTGATGGATGCCAGTCAGCATACACAGCAGAAGATGGAGCTTTTCCTCACTACTGCCTGTCCATCCCACAATGTCTTGGCCACTTTGAATGTCATGACCCAGCAACCCGCCACTTACACAAAACATCTTTTGCTAGTCCCGAACAGCCCTCAGCATGTGTGCTTAATAGCAAAAACATGATAAAAGCTTGTAAAATGTAAATAAATTACTAGAAGATAGTAAGGTTGCCAACTCCAGGTTGGGAAATTCCTGGAGATTTGGGGATGGAGAGGTGGGGTTTTGGGAGGGAGCTTAACAGACTCGGCCTTCCAAAGGAGCCATTTTCTCTAAAGGAACTCATCTCTGTTGTCTGGAAATTAGTTGTGATTCTGTGAGATCTCCACCACCACCACCATCCTCAGAGCTCAGCAGCCTTAGGAGAGAGGCATGACTGGCAACAGTGAGCCAAAAATCAAAATGGAAAAAGAAATTGCTGTTTTCTTTTCCTGTCAATTGGTAACTATAGTTAAGGAGTACATTGATATGAAAAAGTTAAAGGTTTACTACTTTGGTTAACCATTTAATTATTAAAATACAACCATGTTGAATTGTTCCCATAGAACATTTCTGTTAACAAATGTGGTGTGATTTTTGCTGATTTCCCCTTCCTACTGCAGAATTCTGACTTCTCCCTCGTGCTGTTCCTGGGAAGCCCCCCCAGAACAGCATTTGGGGGGAAGTCCCATTCCACTGGCAAAAACCTTTCTGTCAATAAAGGTTTACCTCAGCTTCCAAGCCTGTTAATGTACTTTAGAACTGTTTAATTTTTCTCACAGTACTAATGTGTCTTGGCAGATATATTTTTTAAATTTCTACTGATTAATAATAAGGTCTTCTTTATACTACAAGAACCACAACCCAGCTACTTTCTGATGAGGAAAATACAATAGCCATAACCAGTGCTGATGTAACTATCCTACAAGGAATCATATACAGCAGAAAAATATTAATACCTGTAAGTATATCTCTGGCATTCTGGTGGGTGGTCATTAATGTCTTCAGTGCTTATAACAACTGTAGTGCTGTTACTTCGTCCATTGCTAGGACTATCCTCAACATGAATCTCCAAAGAAATATTGGGATGTTGGTTTAATGGTCCGATATCTCGATCTATCCTTCTGGCCACTTGTATAACACCATTGTCTACAAAGACAGAAATTGAAGGAAGAATGCCTGTAAAGTGGTAACTCTCTCTCTCTGTAGCCATCTAATGGCTGAAAATAATCACTGCATGCAAAGTTAATAGCAAGGTTCTTTAATCTGCATATTTGAGCTGAGTCCAGGTAAAAATTTTAATATAAAATATCTATAGATGCTGACGATGAAAAGGTTGTTTGTTAGAACATGTAGTTATGCATGAGCTACCCAAGAAAGAGACTATGCTGGACTCTTCACCTGATCTTAGATAACCATAGGGAGTGAGGAGTGCTCACACCTGGGGTGGGTATGAAGAAACAAACAAGATTTGCTCAAATTCTGTGGAGATGAAATCTCTATTATTTGCTGAGCTGCTAAAATTGTGACCGTAATTGGTCAAATTATTAGCTGGTACACATGAAGCTACTTTATACTGAATCAGACCATTGGTCCATCATGGTCAGTTTTGTCTACTCAGACTGGCAGTAGTTCTCCAGGGTCTCAGGCTGACTTTAGTTTCTGGGGGGAAATTAGCTAAATGGTAGGCCTCAGCGAGGGGTGGGGTAATAGCAAAGATCGTCCTACCTATGTCTACAGGGATTTTCCCCTTTATGAGAGCTCTTAATAACCAGACAGTTGCTAAACCAAAAGGGTCATTTTTACTGAACAGAAGAAAATCCTAATAAAATGCACACATACAGAAATAAACCACACATTAATTCACACACATAAGTAATGAAAGTACAGAGATGAGTGGTAATAATAGGAGGGTGCTGGGAGATATACTTTACCTATCCAGGAGATCAGGTTCAAGAGTCCATGGAGCAGAGACTGGAGAGGTGGAAAATGACCCAAAGTCTGGGGGTGACCTGCCAGTAGATGTGTAGGCAGACACACAGAGATTGAGCCCTGAGTGCTATTTTTATACCCAAAAACGTGTCCAGAGGGCTTGCTAATGGGAGGGATTCCTCAGAACAAAGAATTGATGGGATTAATCAGGTCTATGATGGGATTACTCAGGGGTAAGACAATATAGCTTTGGAAATGTGGTAACAAGTTCCCAAGACTGGACAAAAGAGGCCGGAAAAAGATCTTGGAAAATTACAAAAATAATTAGTATTTCTGAACCAGGAACCAGTGGCCCATTCCTCCCATTGATTTTAAAAAATGCACATCTTCTTGAAAAGCGATACTGGCTTCAAGGGCAGACTCTACAGTTTGAGAGACCTTAGTGATTGTTTCATTCAATTCTGAAAGTTGTGCTGCGACTGGTTTAATTAAGTCCATGAAGGTCAGGGCCATATTTTTTCCCCTAAGGTTTGCATTGAAGCAAAGAATTCCTGGCGTGTCACATTGAGGCCTTTATCTGCTGGGTCCGCAGTCCCCCGGTCGCCATTTTACCTTCGGTTGAAGTCAGTTTGTCGGGGACCGCGTCCTTGTGCTGCGTTGCGAAAAGTGGCGAGATTGGCTTTGGAGCAGGCGGCAAATGTTTAGCTTTTGTTCCGTAGGTTCTTCCCATACCGTTAATTAATAAGTTGATCAGTTAAAGGGCTAATTGTGGTTTGATTATGGGGGTTTAGGACAGAGCTTATGAGTCAGGCGTCTATTTGAGACGGTCTTGATGCCACACCCCCGTTAGGATATATAAATGATGTGATACACTCCTACAGAAAGACAATCCAGAATTTATCAGCAGCTACTTGTCATTACACAGCAATGGAAGAAACAAGAACCTCAATCTGAACAGGACTGGATTGAGAAGGTTTGGGACCTTGTCATTATCAATAAACTGTCACAAGAAGTCAGAACTTAACAAGAAAGACAAAAAAAGAATAAAGTTTTGGAACAATGGTGGCCCATCATCACATTTTTGCAAGGAAAACCTCTAAACTGGGGCAAACCAAACAAATATAAGACAATATTTTTATGTTGATGTTGTTAAAATATTTTGACAGTAATGTGAGCAGGCAATGGGTTGGGGTGGGCAGAGGAACAGAACTGGATATTTGTAGTGGTTGTAGATTTTCTTGTTTTTCTGTTTATACTGTTAATGAAAAATGGGGAAAAACTTTTTTTAAAAAAAAGACTGTATCCAACAGTGGGCCTTTGAACTTTGTTGTGAGTCTTGTTTTATACCTGACCACAATCTCCTTGTCCTGCTCCACTGATACCTGAAATGGCATTCCTACCAGAATATCCTCCTGCACATAAACTGCGGACAGAGCACAGCAGATGTGTGTGTTGCTATCATTAACTTCCAGGAATTAATGGAATTCAATTGCTTACCTGGATTTATCGAGAAATAAGGAATCCCTTGAGGAGCAGTAATGCTGTAGCGGAGGCTGTTACTAAAGAATTCTCCATCTGGATCCACAGCCGTTATTGTGGTAACAATGGTTCCTATCTTTTCTTCTTCTTTAATCCTGAAAACTGTTTTTGTTCTGTAGTGGAAAGTAAAGCCATGTGTGTGAATGGCTAGTTAACTGATCCTTATGTTGTTTCAGACTGATTATGCTGTGAGGGTTAGAAAGTGAAGATCTAGGTAAGTGGTCTCCATTTCCCCCCAGTACCAGTATCCACATGGGATCTGCTCTTTAAGTTTTTTTTCTTTCTCGTGCTCTCTCCTCCTTCCCTCCTCATGCATCCTAGTTATGACATTCAAACTGATAAAATGTTATAACACCTGTGGCAACTTTCCCACATATTCCCTCGCAGGAAAATTAATGCTTATGTTATATAATGTATGGTGCTCTATAATTAATGGTTTATTTTAACAGCTGAGGTCTTAATATCTCCAAGTTTATTTAAGATATCAAATCCTGTGACACTCTTAGGAGACAGGCATAGCCTTAGCTGGCACTGTGGCATCCCCCATACTAAACTTGACTAGCTGCAAGATATTCCTAGGATCAGTAGAGAGAGTGGCACAATCCAAAGAGGAGCGAGACGTCCAAATTCCTATTTATCATCTAAGCTCTTTCCCCCCCAGGAAGTGCTTTCCACACTTCCAGTTTGTGCTAAAAGAACTAGTTGGTGCATACAGTCAAGAGTGTTGCACTTGAACCAGCAAGACTTGGGTTCCAACTCATAAACAGGTACCAGTTAGCCTTTGGTCAGGTGTTATCTCTTAACCTGACTTTTCTGAGGACCAAGTAAAGAAAGCTCAATTTGCATGCTCCTGTCTTTAGAGAAAGATACAATTGAAACGTGATAAAATAAGTAGGGAATTCAGAAATTTTCCATATAAACATGCTTCTGGAAGCAATAGTTGTTTCTTGCCTGGATTACCCTTGAAGAATCATTGCAAAAACGCTTTTTTCATTTTATATGAAATATAACTGCACAGTGCTCAGGCTAATTTTTATAAGCAACAAGGGCAACTGGGAGCCATTGAAAATAATGCATATTAATTTTTGCATTTGTAACAGGGTCTTGTTTGATCAGAAACAGCTATCAGTTGGCATGAACCAAATACATTATACACCAGTAAGTTTCATTTTGCGTGTTTTTAGTTATTAAAATATTTATACCCTGCCCTTCCTCATGGTTCAAGTCAGTTCCTTCTTGGCCCAGAATTTAGTGTCAGCCACAACATAGTCCAAAGAATAACTTTTATTAAATAACATTCTGTTTCATACAGAGTTGCAATGTTTGGTCAGTTAATTGGTTAGACTAATTGATTATAATCTTTTTTGGATGAGTAAATGTCCCAAATGATTGGGGCAGCATATTTTAAAGAATTATATGGAATACAAGTTCCTGCAAATAATGTGACAGGTAGGTGCATCTTAGAAGAGACATTCCCCCCTGTGAGAGAGTGCCTCTTCTAAGATGGAAGATGTACATTCATCATCTACAACCAAAGCAAATATGCTTTGCCCCCTTCTGAAGTAGTTTTATTCATCTACTAATTTATTAAATACATTGATTGATCAGCTACAACTAATATTGTTTGATTAGCTAAGATTTCTTTAGTAGGATAAAAGGCATCAAAACATCTGTACCACCAGGTATTTTAATCTATCTACCAATTCTCAACAGTCCTTTCTGTATGCAGATACTTATTTCTGCCAACAGAGAGCTTACTCTCCCCCAACAGGTTTTTCTACTGACACTGTGGGTCTGCAGAAAAATCCAAAAAGTAAAAAAAAAAAAAAAACAACTTGGGGAGGGTTGAATCCCCCCCCAACACGTTTTGAAATGGCCACTGCAGGTATCTACTCCAGGCCCTGCCGCATCAACAGTGAGAGATTAGAACATTCGGGGGGGAGGCTTCTAACTGGTTCTGTCAGTAAAAGGCAGGGGAAGGGCCCTTTCCAGGCCTGTTTTGGCCTTTCAGGGAGGGTTCCTTAGGGTCAGGCCTGACAAGGGTTGCCAGTGCCAGGGTGGAAAATTCCTAGAGGTTTTGTGGTGGAGTCTAAGGAGGGCTGGGTTTGGGGAAGGGAGAGGCCTCAGCTGGACATAATGCCACAGAGTCCAGTCTCCAAAGCAGCCATGTTCTCCAGGGAGACAGATAGGGCTGCCAAGTTCCCCTGGGGGGCGGATAATCCCCCACTTTGGAGGCCCGATTTCCGCCGCAGCGGAATCGGGCCCCGGGGGGAACCCCACCCTGGCGTGCACATCAGCCGGATGTGACGTGATGATGCCGGGCACACTGGGGGCGGGGTCACAGCCATTTGAGGGGAAAACATAGAGTTCATGAGTCTAGGAGCCCCCCGCCGCGAGGTAAAACAGACTTGGTAACCCTAGAGACAGATCTCTGCTGTCTAGAGTTCAGTTGTAATTCTGGGGGGTCTCCAGGTTCCACTTGGAGGTTGGCAACCCTAAGTCTGGCAGCAGTCTAAGGTTGCCAGGTCTTCTCTGGCCACCAGCAGGGGATGGGGGGGGGGTAAGGTTGCCAGATCCAGGTTGGGAAGCTCCTGGAGATTTGGGGGTGGACCCTGGGGTGGACAAGGACCTCAGTGAGGTACAAGTCCATAGAGTCTACCCTCCAAAGCATCCATTTTCTCCATGGGAAGTTATCTCTGTAGTCTGGAGGCTGGCATCTTTAGGCAGCACCCTCTGGGTGACTTGATACCACCTGATTTGCATGACTTCAACAGCAGCCACCCTATAAAAGGCAATGTGGTGCAGTAGTTAGAGCTTCAAAGTAGGGTCTGCAAGACCCAGGTTCAGATCCCATTTTGTGGTGGAAGCTGACTGGATGATTTTGGACCAGTCATATACTTTTAGCCTAACCAACCTCACAGGGTTGTTGTGCAGATAAAAGGGAGGAGAGAATAATGTAAGCTGCTTTGGTTCCCCACTGTGGAGAAAGACTGTAATTTTCCTAGGTACAGGCTGTGGGGGAGGCAAAAAGCTGAAGACAGAGAGGAAGATAAAGGTCATTGGCTGTTGGGTGGGAAGGAAATAGGGTTGCCAACTCCAGGTTGGGAAATCCCTGGGCATTTGAGGAGTGGAGCCTGGGAATGGTGGGGTTTGAGGAGGGAAGGAACTTCAGACCACTATAATGCCATAGACTCCATCCTCCAAACCAGCCATTTCCTCCATGAGAACTATCATTGCCAGCCTCCAGGTGGGGCTGGAGATCACCCAGAATTACAACTGTGGTCCAGGTGACAGAGATCAGTTCCCCTGGATAAAATGGCTGCTTTCGAGGGTTGAGTCTGGCATTATACCCTGCTGAGGCTGCTTGCCTCCCCAAGCCTCATGATCCCAAGGCTCCACCTCCAAATCTCCAGGAATTTTCCAACCTGGAGCTGTCAGCTCTAAGGTGAATTGATCTCTGTAGCTGGAAGATCCATTGTGATTCCCAGAGAGCTGCCACTGCTGCTGTGGGGGAGAGAAAGCAGGTGGATGGCTGGGAGCACTTCCACCACCACCACCACCGCTGCTGCTGTGCGGGGTGGGGGAGGAAGCAGGCAGGAGGCTGGGAGAGTGATGGGGGCAGAAAGAGAAAGAGTGATGAGGTGGGAAGGCAGAAAAACAAAGAGAATGATGAGAGGGCAGAAAGAGAGAGGAAGTAACATGCATGGAGGAGAGATAGAGAGTAAGAAAAGGGGGGCGGAAGAAAGAGTGTGAGAAAGGTAGGAGGAGAGGAGGGAAGCAAAGGTGTGAGGAATAGGATAACCATTCTACAAGTTTCTTGCGGGTCCCCACTTGTAAATGATATGATATTTAATGTATAATGTCTGCTGTTGTATAGTAGGGTTTCCAGGTACCCTGAGGCTAAAATTCTGAGTCTAAAATAGTTGAGCCAGGAAATTAAGTGGTAGCTCCTCACAGAGCATAACCAGGAAGCAGCAAATCACCACCCAGTGGACTCTGCAACCACAGCTCTTGATTCTGCTCCTGACTCTACTCCACTCCAGTGACTTTCGGACCGGCTTTGGACTCCTGTATACAACCTCAGACGTGCTTGCTCCTGTATACAACATTGGACTGCTAGACCTTGCTTTCTGGACCACCCTCTGAACTGGACTCTGCTCTCTGGTTACTGACCTTCTGGACTGAATCTTGATTCTGACTTTGTACTCTGACTCAGCTTGTACCTAGACTCTGACAATTCCCCCCAGGTGCTCACCCCATGGTGCTACATGCCCTGTCTGTGTTGTGGCCACCACCAGGGTGCGTGTGCACTTGTGCGAAGTCTGCACCGCAGGGAGCTGTCAGACAGCTGGTTTTCACGCTGCGCACCCTACCTGTGGAGTTCTGGGGTGACCTGCAAAAACCATTTGTATGGCAGGGGGACTGTGATTGGGTCCTGAGGAGAGGCACAGCCAGAGCAGACAAGAGTGCTGACTGGGTGCACAATTAATCAGTATCCTGAGCTGCCTTGGATCCTCTGGGTGCAGGTTTGTGTGGGGGAGTGAATTTGGAGTTACAATGGCTTTCAATGGGCTACGATACCTTTTTTGCCAGTGCAACTTTGTGCTTGTTCAGGGAGGTATTCTCATGCTGAAAACACTTTGGAAGCCACCTAACTGCCACCATGCCCCCTGGGACGCCCACATGTAGGCTGGCGGCAAGGTTTGTGCCATTACTCCACCAGTGTGCTGCTGTGGTGCTCTTGCACCGGTGGAACTCAGCAACATGGCACCACTGGTGCTCTACGCCAGTGTAAACTGCCCTTACTCCAGTCTATGTTTATTCAGGGGCCCCCTCAGGATTGCTCTGTCAGTGGTGGATCCAGCATTGAGGAAAGCCCTTCATGAGAAGGTGCAAATTGGCTCGTGCTGGGTCGTTTTCATTTTTAAAAGTACAGCTATCTTTTAAAGTAGGCTTTCTATACTCATTTGAAATGTAAGACAGTTTTTTGAGGGAAAGGCATGCCGTTTTTTCCATTTTAATGCTGGATTATTTGATAACTGCAGCTCAGGATTTTTGTAAACTGCTTTGAGTCATCACAGTATATGGGAAAGGTGGCATAAAATATTTTAATAAAAATAAACAAAATAAAATAACTGTATGTGTTTTGATATAATATGAATCTTGCACTTACATGGTAAAGTAAGGTGATTGATCATTGATATTTATGATATTGATTATCACTGTCCTCGATGTACTCAGACCCTGTCCATTTGTCACTGTAATGTTTAATGAATAGCTGTAAAATCAAAAGACAAGTCAGGAATGATTGTTTTTCATACACAATATATTTCTACTAACAACAAATGACAAATGATAACAACTAAAAACATCAGATTTGTGTTTGCTAATGTAGAACTTATTCTGAATATATACCTACCTAGGTGGATCCTTCTCATAATCAAATGTTTTTGAAGAAGAAATGGTTCCAGTTGCAGAAACAGAGAATGGTTCTCCTGGTGTCACTGAATACTGAAAGAAATGCTATGACTTGGGATATGATGACATAGTTTGTCTCATAATTAGTACTGGAACATTTTGAGAATAACTAGTACAGTCTACACCACATCCCAGATTATTCTCTTGATTGGTAGTAAACTCTCTGGGTTCTTTACTAGAAAACAAATTCGTTATTACAGAATTACCAACTCTCCTGCAATTGTCCAGACAATTTTACCAGGATGAATCTCATCACCACCATCCCATTGTATCAAGAACAGGAAAACTAAGACATAAAGCAATAAATAAGGACAAATTTTAAAAAATAAGTATTCCAAAGAACGCCAGTCTAGACATAACTCCTAAAATATTCTTGTGTGGCCAACCAACACTCTTGTTACCTAAGACTGTACTTTTTCACCTAATGCTTATATTACTTATGCAAATACACTACTCAAATGTGTTGATAGCCATTAACTCTGAAAAATAACTATTCAATGTCATGGAGGCTAGGTCTGTCAACAGCTGCTAGCCATGATAGCTGCATAAGAATCCTTTGACCATCAGATTCTGCAGACACAGAACTGGGAAGGCCTGGGGTTTTTGTGAGCTGGTTGCGGTCTTCCCCAGAGTCATTTCTGAAAACAGTTTGCTGGACAAGATGGACCTTTATCCTGATTCAGAACTGTTTTTACATCCCTCTCATCCTGAGTGCTGGTCTTCATTTAACCAGGTTTGTAGCTTCCACTACAATCACCAGTGTGACACTTGTGTGAGCAGACATATCACAAACAAGATATTAAGTAAATAGAAGAGTAGAAAGGGGTTTGTGTGTCCCCAACTTTGTATTGCAACATTTTCAAGAATATCATGACCATAATTTGTGTGTTGGCAATCACATTGGCAAATTATGCTAATCACATATAATGAACCAGTATTAAGATACAGCTATTGTTACTTCTGCTGAAAATCCTAGCACTGGACAAGTTGCTCAGCAGCAACTGGGAGCATGTGAAGTACTCGTGTGTGCATGTGCGTGTTCGTGTCTATATCTGTCTGTCTGTCTTTACATGCCAGCTTATCCTTATTTCCTATTATTGATTCAGTTGCAAAATACCCTTCCTAGTTCCCATTATCTGGAATAAGTGGTGGTACTACAAATAAATCTTTTACGGGACAGCAAAGAAAGGTAAAAGTAGGTTCTCAAGCAGCAAGCTGTCTCTAGCATATATGTCGATTAAAGATGCTCTGCAGTGAGGGGCAGAAAGAAAGCATTTTTTCAATGAGAGACTTATCCATTCTTGCTCCCCTTTAGCACTGCCTGCACTTGGGGCACAATAAAATCCAGTTGGAAAGGGCATTGAAAGTGGATTATTTAGTGTGTGCATGATTGCAGCCTTAAACAAGTATTCTGTTACTGAGTTTTGTTTCCCAAGTAGTCTGAATGTTTGACAACATTCTGTGCCATCACACCAGTGTCAGAGGCTTCAACATCTCAAACGTAATACAATATAGATAAACTTTTTTAACACTTCTGGTTATTGAATTCAAAACAGAAGCGTTTTAATTGACTTAGTATCTGCTATAGTGAGTTGCCATCTCAGCATTATTTGAATCAAACTTACAAAGAGTCTTGTGGATGTTGAATTT